GCGCTTTCCGCACGCCGGGCCTGGCTGTGGCTACCTGTGCTGCCGTGTGGCTCTGCTCCGCTGCCCTGACCCTGCCCCTGACCCTGCAGCAGCAATCCTACCCCCTGCTCGGGGCAGGCCTCACGCTGTGCCACGATGTCCTGCCCCGCCACGAGAACGACGGCTTCTACTTTTATTATTTCGTGGTGCTGATCGCCTGCGCCTTCCTGCTGCCGCTGCTGCTGCTGGTGCTGAGCTCGGCCGCGCTGCTGTGGGTCCTCCTGAGTGCGGGCAGCCGCTACTCGCACGCCGCCAAGCTCACGGCCCTCGTGGTCACCACCCTGGTGGTTTTCTATGCCCCCAGCAACATCCTCCTGCTGCTCCACTACTCCAGCCCCTGCTCCAGGCTGCATGGCCGGCTGTACCTCAGCTACATGGTCAGCCTGGCCCTCAGCACCTGCAACAGCTGCGCCGACCCCTTCGTCTACTACTACGTGTCTGAGGATTTCCGGGAGAAGGTGAGGAGAAGTCTTCAGGGGCAGCAAAAAAATCAGCACTTCCCTAAAGACCTCCAAGGAAACGCTGCCCCGTTCCAAACATTTTCTGCTGTGAGCCTCCAGCCCGGCTCGCTGCTCCCGGGGCACTCGTCGTGCACACAGCGGGGATAAGATGAATTCAACACTGGAATTCCACAAGTTTCACCCAGAGCAGCATTTCCCAGGAGCCAAGTGCTTTTCCCTGTGTGCACAGATAAGGCTGGATAAACCCAGGCTGTGAGATTCTCTGCCCAGACAAGGTGCTGAATGCTGGACACACACAGCCTTTCCTGGGATGCTGCCTGCAGCTTCTCAGCTGGTCACAGACCACCAGGGATGTTCCTGCCCGTACACCTGGGTCTGGTGCTCCTATCCTGACTGCTCTCTGCCTGCTGATCCTGCTCCTGGCTTGTCCTTAAATGCACATTCCCTTCCCCTAAATCTGAAAAAGAGCTATCGTTGCAAAACCAAACTTCTAAATGTTTCAAAAGATACTCTCCTGAATGAAACCAGTCTGTCAAAAAGAGTGCAGAGCACTGGCTTGAGTAGCAAAAACATTCTTGGCTTGATTTGTAAGCAGCCCCTTGGTAATGTCAGCCCACTCTTGGTAAAGGGTGTAAAAATCCCGTTCACTCATCCCTGTTCTTGCAAATCACCCTTGGCAGCCATCATTTCTTTGAGGTAAAGGTTGTATGAACGGATTTTGTAAAAAAATGATGTCTCATGAAGGGAAATAGTAAAGTAGGAATGGAGCAAATCCTCTGGTACTCCACATTTCCTTCCTGTAATGTCACCAAAAGCTGTCTCTGATCAAAGAGGTGCTCGGGTTTGCTGCTTAGTGGAACCTGCTGCAAATCTGATAAAATGCAGCCAGCTCATCTCTCAGACACAACTGGGGCACAGCTCTGTGAGCAGCCAGGTAGAAAATGAGCAATAAACTTCTTTAGAGTTCCTTAATTCTTTAGTTTTAGTTAAGCACAGGCTTGACAACCTAAAGCACAAATAAGAGGCAGAGAGGATTGTCTTAAAATTGGTTTTTAATAAAATATTTATCAGAATCTAAAACAAACACTTTTCTGGACTCAGACTTGCTAAGATGTGTGAGAACAAACCAACAACTGGTCAGAGAGCTGTTTGTGTGTACCTGTGTGGGGGAGGCAAAAGGCAGGGGAAACAAAGCTGGGCTCTGGGCACTCAGAAACAGCAGCCACTAAAAAAACCCCAAACCCAGGCTGGTAGAGGTTTTCTAAATAGTTGCTCTATTCACAATAATGAAAACCAGGTTATTGTTCATTAAATGTCAACAGTCAGAGCAAAGCAATTGCTGGTGTGTTGGGGATGTTCCTCAAGCAAGCTGAACATTCTTCTGGTATTTGCTTTCTACTGAGGCTGATTAAGAGGGAGGGGAAGAGGCAAGACCAAAACACAGGACAAAAAAGAACAAGGGGAACTATTGCTTTAAAATAAATACCATGGTAATGATTACTCTGCATAATGTACAGTTACAAATATATAAATATTCATTTCCTTGAAAGGATTGCAAGCATCAATCACTGATAACTAGCACTGCTGCAGCTATTCAGTCACAGAACTCGATGGAAGAAGCAATTTCTGTGTCTTAAAAACCCACTGGCACTTTTCTTCTTTTGCAGTAAGGGACCATCAGGAAAAGGAAAGGAGAAGCATCTCTCTGACAGAGGGAGGCAAATGTCTCTAAGCCAGAAACAACCCAAAGCAGCAGCAGCTGGCCTTGCTGGCTTTGGCTTTCCAGCACCCAGCTGGTCTTTTCCTTGGTGGAAAAAAACTGAAAACCAATCCTTCTTCCTAAACTCACTTGCTGAGGTGCACAAAGTGGAAGCCTGAGATGTCCTTGTGCTCTCAGGGACAGGAGGGAGACTGATCAGCTCCAGAGCCAGAACTGGGCCAAAGCCTGTGAACAGCTTTGAGTCTGCACAGCTGTGCTGTGTCCAGTGCTGCTCAGGGATCCAGACCTAAAGTTTCTGTATTCCAAAAAGGATGAAGAAAGGAGGAAAAATAACCTATGATGTTTTTTTCCCTAGATAAGAATTAATGATGATTACTAGAAACATGAACAGCAAATGTGGGATAGGGGAAAGCTCTGGACCCTAAGATAGGGTGGAGAAGAGAGCAGAGACCTCCTTGATTCCTGTGACAGGGGGAAAAGGCAACCACAGTGGTGTAACTGCAGGTTCCTTGATTCAATTCCTTAAATAAAATCACCTTTTTTCTTTTTAGCTACAAAGAGGAGCTGGTTTGGTGTAGCAAAAGTGGGGGGAGGCAGAGGCTGCCAAGAGCAGATGGACTGGAAGTGCCAAGGCTGGGAAGAAGCACTGGGAGTGAAGTCAGGATCCAGAAATCCTGTCCCATGCCCTCCCACACACTGCCCTGCTCTGTCTGGCTCTGAGGACATTAAGGCTGCTCTGCCTTTGCTTTCTGAGGGTCCAGGGCTCTCTGGTTTTACTTTGAATTGCAAAACAGAAGCCAGACTCCTCTGCCTCAAGCACTGGCACAGAGACCCCTCAGACAAGGCTCTGATTGATGTGCTGGCACCACCAGCAGGAATTATTTACCTGGCAGGACCAGGGGGATGTCTGCATCTGGAATTAGGACAGTACATGTCCCAGAGCCTGAAGAAAGTGAAGAAAGGCAGGTTTAATTCTTGGCTGGAACTCCCCACCCTCATCTCCTCATCCCAGGGGGAGGTCTGAGTGCCCAAGGATCTGTGAGAGGACCAAGCAATTTAAAACAAATTCAAATATCTCTCCAGCAGCATTCACTGGGTGTACAGTGGGTGAGAGAGACCAGGAAAGGAAAACCAGAAAGGGACTGAGGACAGGAGAATGAGGAATCCAGAACAAAGGTCCCATCCCCTGGATGAAGCCAGTCACAGACATTACCAGGGTGACCAAATGCCTCATTCTCCCAACTCACAGCACTGAACAGCTGCAGCCTGAACCAGCAAACAGCAGGGTTTGTATTGTGCACTTTTGAGTTTTAGAAAAGGGGGAAAAAAAAAAAAAAGAAATCTTGTTGCAGCTCACACTAGGCCTGTTATTTACCCAGGGATAAATATTGACTCAGTCCTGTGTGTGTACACAATAGCCAGTGCCTGCCAGGACGGTTGCTTGCAGGAGGTGGAATTTAGTTTAAAGGCATTTATTTACCTGCCAGGCAGGAATGCAGCTGCCAGGGTGAGGGCAGGATCTGTCCCTGCACACCCCAGACATGGGGAAGAACCCTCAGCCCACAGCAGGATCCTGGGAGCAGCCACAAGGGAAGGCTGGCAAAGCTGCCAACAAGGCAGCTCTGAAATTTCTGGGAACTTCAAGACCCAGACCTTCATCATGTCAACTGCATTCTGCAAATGTCTGGCCCCAGACAAAAAGGGCTGGGAACTACACATGCCCAACCTCTGGGATTACCTCCTGCTTGTCCCCATGTGGACATTTTTCTGGAATAAACTTGTCTTTATTCTGGAATGGAATGTCTATACTGGGATATATTCTTGTCATGGTTCCTGTGTAAACAAGCCTTAAAAATGAATGGAGCTGGGCTTTTTTTTTTTTCTGTTTCCATTCACCAATAAACACTCTCAAAAGGAGTTTCCACCCTGCTCTGGGTCCTGGTAACAATAGAAGTGGGAAGATAAAATATTAACACTATTTTGCAAGAGGCAATTGCATGTAACTCCTCCAAAGAGAACAATGCTGCTCCAGGCAGGAAGGGAAACTCAAAAATCTTGGCTCCTGCGCTTTTGGAAACACAAAGCTTTTCTTTTTAAGTTTTGCCACATTGCTTGGGGCAGGTCAGACCAAGGGAGTCCAGCCTGTGACACCAGGGATTGGTACTGCCAGCAGAGCCAGGGCCTGGCCAGGGAGTACCAGGACCAGAACATGCTGTGCTGGATGCCAGTGGGAGCAAAATAAAAGGGGTTGGTGATATCAGGCAAACATTTAAAAGGGCTGTGCCTCGGCCAGGTTAATTTTCAGGCCAGGCTTTGAGAAGGAAAGGGGCTGAGAAGGCTGCGAGCAGCCCCTGTCAGCACATAGTGCAACACAAAGAGGGCTCCCCCACCTCATCCCTGCCTCTGCTGAGGCTGCAAACGCCCACCTGAGGACTGCAGACAGCAGCAGACATGAAGCCTTTCAGCCCTAGCAGTGGATTTCTGTTTTCTCAGGTAAAATGTACCTCCCAAGAGTTTCTCTGAATTGTGGAGCCACAGGGAAGTGTTCCTTTCCTGGGTGCAGCAGACTGATGGGCTGGGGAAGATGAGTAGCCTCTTGCTATGTCATAATTGGCAAAACACACTGACTTTTATTATTATAATTTGAGCAAAAAAATTCTCAGCCATCTTTCCTCAAACAGCAGTTCAGCTAAGCACAAGGCCTGGACTTAGCTTCTAAGTGTAGCTAGGAAATGGCATTTGCAGAATATCCTGATAGCAAACACTTGGAAATGCTCTATAGGTTTGAATTCCAGCCCCTATTTTTCTCACCTAGAGGGCACAGCATATTGGTCTCTCATCACTGGAAGGGCTCCAAAGGGAAGGCAGGAAAATGGACAGAAAAATAATGCTGAGTGTCCCCCTTAGAGTTCCAGATCTGCCCCAAGGGGCAGCAAAGCCTACAGTTCTGAGGGCATCAGGAAGTAGTCATCATTCAGATTCTGTTCTGCAGCAGGTCGTCTGGAGGAACAAACTCATACAGGAGTCGATTCTGAGCCTCTTCTCTTTATTTAAATTACGTATTTCTGTCAGAAAGAGAACACAAGGAAGAATCACCTGTGATGCACCTTTGTGAGATATCACTGAGCCTGCGCAGGGGAAAGCTGAAAAGGCCACAGAGCTGGGAGGGACCCACCAGGATCAAATCCTGCCCAGACCCCCCACCAAGCCCACCCTGAGCATCCCTGAGAGCGCTGTCCAAACGCTCCTGGAGCTCTGGCAGCCTTGGGGCCGGGCCCATTCCCTGGGGAGCCTGGGCAGTGCCAGCAGCCTCGGGGGGAAGAACCTTGCCCTGAGATCCATCCCAAGCCCTGGCACAGCTCCAGCCCTTCCTGGGCTCCTGTCCCAGAGCAGAGATCCGTGTCCATCCCTCCTCTCCCCATCACGAGACTGATGAGCCTCCCCTCAGTCTCCTCCGCTCCAGCGGAACACACCAAGTGAAACCCCCTTCACTCCGCTGGGGCTGAAGCCACTGAGCTCACAGAGCCTTTTACAGCTGCCCCAGCAAGATCCCATTCCCAGTGATCCCTAAAGAGTTGTAAAAACATCCCTTTGTGGCGCACTGAGCCAGCAGGAGGATGCCTCAGGCTGGCTCAGAGCAGGCCCCGCTCAGGGCTCACCATTCCGCCGGCGCGGCCTCGCCCTGGCCGCCGTCCCCGTCCCGCGAGCTGCCGGCCGTGCTCAGCTCCGCCACCACCTCGAACACGTCCGATTCCACGGCGAAAGCGTCGGGGTCGTACTCGTAGGAGTAGTAGGACAGGTCTGTGTGCAGGGGGGATCCCTCCTCGGCTGCCGGGGCGAGCAGGGCCGCGGGAGCTGCGGCCCGGCGCGGGAGAAGGAAGGGGTTTAGTCAGGGAGGCTGCGGGGCCTGCAGGTGTTTGTGGGGCCCACAGGGGAGGGGGGAAGCTGCTGCAATGGCAGAGATTACAATTTCCCAGTCTGAGACCTGGGCACTGGAATAAAATGGAAGGAAAGAGGGGGAACAAAGAGAAGGGTGAAGGGGAAACAAGGAGGAAAAGGGAAAACAAGGGGAGAAGGCAAATAAGGGTGGGAAAAGGAGGAAACGAGGGGAAATGAGAAAAAAAGGGGGAAAGAGGAGGAAATAAGGAGGGGAAATGAGAAAACAAGGGGGGAGGAGAGGAGGAAAGAAGACAAGGGGGAAAAGAGGAGGAAAGAAGGGCAGAAAGGGTGATGTACTTTAAAAAACATCTCCAAGCCTCCTTTTCCAGCATGGAATTAACTGAGGTGCTGAAGTTCAGATCCACCACCCTGAGGGCTACACACAGCAAGATAAAAGTGTCATGCTGAGGGCAGATGGCACAGGGAACCCACTCTGCACCCTGAAAATCTCTCCTCTGACCAGGCACCTCAGGTAAGGAGAGCCCCATCCATACGGGGATGTGTTCTGTGTGCCCTCAGCTGTGCATCATTTCATAAAACAAGTGGCAAAGCTGGAGGGAGACCCTGAGGGAACAGCTCACTTGGTGACTGATCAGTGGAGGCAGACAACTTTCTTTTCAGCCCATTAAATGTGAAGATTTCGAGGCCAGGATTCCACAGCAGAGCCATTGACACCAGCCTGAATGAGGAGCTGAGGCACCTCTGCCCCAGCACAGTCTCACAGCACAAACTTCCATCATTTCATGTAGGGACAGACTCAGCACAGGCAGGAGCAAGAACTTCTCCTCTTCCCACTCCCTCCAATGTGTGCTGACACTGGCAGGTCCCTCTCACAGCACTCCACTCACACCAGGCTCTGTGCTGGGTGACTGCTCCCTGTCCAGAGGGTAAACTGCAAGATAAAACTTCTAGGAATAGCAGCACATCCGTGTTTCCTAAACTGCTCCTCGAGCCAGCTCAGCTGTCCATCCTTTCTGTTTGCTTTCTGTGTACACTGCTCTAATCCAAACCAAAGCAAGCACTGAAGCAGAATTATTGCAGGGAGGAAAAGTCCCCCGCCTGCCCAAATCTGGCTTTATTTAAAGAGAACACTCATCAGGGTCTTTGAAAATGTTTGTTCTCTAGAATTTAAATATCTGAAGGATCTTCCCTGTTGCCTCCCACATCCTCCCAGCACTGGGCAGGGGAGTCAGGCTCTGTTCACTCCTTCTTGGCCTCCTCCCTGTGAGAACCTGCCAGATCATGAGCTCCTTCTATGAATGGGTGATTGCTGTCCACTGGGAATGGGATGAACATCACAGGCCTGGCTCTTCCCAGGAATTCAGCGCTGGAGTCCAAGCAAAGAGCACAGGCCGACATTTCCTGCTGCACACAAACCACTCTCCCCAGCCCCAAATGTTTGTGCTGAGGCCAATGTTTGCTGAGCAGTGATGGGGGAGAGGAAAAACAGCCCTGTGCCAGCTCACTCAATCCTGAAAGAGCTGCAGCCCTGTGGGGAACGTGCCAGCCAGGGAATTTTGGGGATAACTCCACCTGGAAGCAGAGCTCAGGCGGATGTTCCAGGTGGGAGCTGGTGCAGGTGATGGTGGTTAATTAGGAAAAAACCAACAATGCACAAATAAAAGACCATCACCAAACAAAAGTGTCATAATTCAACTTAGAATTTTCTTCCAGTTCCAGCCATTGGCCCTTCTGATTGCTGGAGCAAAACCGTGCGAAGGACACGGCTGTGGGGAGAAGGCAGGGGGCCAGAGATGGAATGAAACAATGTTCAAGTGTGTGGGGCAGCAGTGCTGGGGGTGTCAGTGCTGCTGTGAGCAGGAACCCACCCAGCACTGCTGCCCCACACACTTGGACATTGTTTTCCACCAAATCCATGCAGAATCACAGCACTGTGATGTCAACATATTGTCCTCCAACATCAGAGGCTGTGCTGTGGCTGTATCTTGACTGCCTTTGGCAGAGGAGATTTAGGCAGTTTCATAAGAGAGTTAATGATCTGTGGAAGCAATCAAAGCACCACTTCATCAGAGAGACACTATCAGAGCTACTGGGGATCCCTCAGGCTCCAAAGTCCACCCAGATCCTTGTGGCCAAGGAGTGACAAGGACATCAGAAATTCAGTGAGATTCCAGTTCGCAGCTCAGCTCCTGCTCCAGGGTTTTCTATCGAAATAAATATTGCAGCAGGCTGTGAAGGCACACCAGCACACCCACAGCTGGGTCCATGCTACTCATCAAAATCCTGTTCCACCCTTTTGAGACTCAGTAATTCACCTGTGAGAAGGAACAGCTGAGGAAGGGGATTCACACAGGAGTTACTCCAGCTGAGTCCTGTCACTCCACAATCAGAGGATCTACAGATGCAAAGAGGATCCCACCCATCTCTACAAAAAAAGGCTGCAGTTTTAAGGTCAAACCTCAACCATTCTGCCTCACTGCAGACTTCGGGAAGGCATTTTAAAATGTTCTGACAACAGCAACAGCACTTTGCATCCTGAACTTTCAGGGCCATCTATGTTCAATTGCTCATCTTTGAACAGCTGGAATTTATTCCAACAAACCCACTGGTGTGTGTGTAACTTCACTGTGGGTCTGTGTGTGCCAGAGGGAGCCCCAACACATCCTGCAATTCCCACTGATTGTTCCCACTGCTGGCTAACAAGGAGAAGACCTCAATTAAAGCATCCATCAGCCCAAGCTGAGCTGCACCAGTCTCATGGCAAACACAGGAGGCTTCCAGACAACACAAACACCGCGTGCCTCTCTGAGAACGCGGCATTTCCTGCAGATTAACACACCCAGTCGGTTTTACACCAACCTGCCCTGAGCTTGATTCGGCTCCTGGAGTTTTGCATCCTTTTAGGAAGTCACAGATTTAGGCATGGCTCAGCAGAGCCCTTGCTGGAGCACCTGAGCCGACTTAACCCCATCACATGCTCCAGCAGCACCAAGCCCAGGAGAGCGTGGGTGAGGAGGGGCTCATTCATCTGCTGCACTTTGATTCATGTCCCGTGTGCTTGACCTGAGAGGAGCCCGGAGGATTAATGAAAATCACATGCTGGGCCCTTTTCCTGGTGAAGGATTTAGTCAGTTTGATTCCTGAATGCTCACTCTGCCATGGCTGCTCCCAGCCCAGCATCTTCCTGCCAGGAAATTTGGGCACTCCCAGATCCCAGGACAAAGGCAGCTCCAAGTGCTTGTGCTTTATCAAACACCCTTATGGCACTCAAGTTTGTCCACCTAAAATCTGCGTAACCATGCCACACAAAATAATCAGGTTTTCCCCTTCTGCTCCTTCTGAGCCAGAACTGTTTCTGTCAATTCAGAACAGGAACCACAGAGGGATTTTCCTTTGAATTCAATGCAGATTATATCAGAAACTCTGTTCTGAACATTTTTTGGATTGTGGATTACCATCAGGTTCCATCTTTTTTTTTCCCCAGGTAATCATATCGAATTTTGATTTGAAAATAATGCAATGGCAGCCCCATTTTTGTAGAACTCAGAGCGGCCTCACATTCCAGCAGTGCCTAAATGGAACAGTTTGGGAATGATGCTTGAAAGGGTTCATACTGCATCATTTCCATGCTGAGCACATGACACATGCATGGAAGAAAAGGCAACAGGATATAGATATATATATCAGGAGAAAAAAAGCGGGGGGAGGAAAATAGTAGAGACATTAAATACTAAGACTGAATGACCATTAGAAACTGTCATAATGGAATATTCATCATGATTTTGCACCTTAATAGGAAAACTGTCCATCAGCTGCTGTCCAGAAGGGAAAGAACAGGAGAGTATCTCATGGTGGACATGTGTTAATCTTACTCTGGTGCACAAGGAGGACATGAGGAGGCACAGAGGCTTCTCCTGAAGAATTAAACTGGTTTTACCACCAATTTGTTGGGAGAATTGGAAGCCAGAGGAAAATTAATGAGTGGAAAGCAGCCAGGAAAAATCTAGTCCAGTTTATTTACTAGAAACAGCACAAAACAAGCTATTCTATTGACCTCCACTGCTTCTTGGTGAGATTTACTGTGAGCCATGAGCGAGTTCGACACGAGTCTTGGAAAAAAGTGCATGAACATAAGCACCAAATAAAATGAGCAGCCAAATTCCTGGCTACTCCATCCACTGACCTTAACATTTTTGCTCACTAAGGCTCTTTATTCCAAACAGCTCTGAGACAACCAAGACTGCCAGCTCTATTTTTGCACAGAACTGCAGGGACAAAGTTAATCCACCTGGATTGGAGTCCTTGCAGTGGTTGGTTGTCCACTCCTACAAACAATTATCTAAATCCTGCAGGTGCTGAACTGAGCAGGATTCCTGCATGATTTCCTGAAAGGAAAAGGAGAGCTGTCTGCTACTGAATACCTCTCATCCTTAGTTTCCTTGATCTCTTCATTTTTTCCTGATTTCTGAATATTCTGTCTTTTCTATGAGATGGAGAAATTCAACATCTTTACTTAAAATGTGCTTGAGAGCCACCTGTACTTAATACAGGGATAGGACAAGCTTTAACCTTACTAAAGAGAAAGCCTTTGGATAAATGCAAAGGTATTGCATTACCTGCTGGAGTCTGGGGAACACTGGACTGCTCAGCTGTGTGGGATTGTGTCTCCCTTTCTTCTGGCAAGTTCTTGGCTGCAAATGCAAAGAAAAATAAACTCACCTGTCACATAATTCATTAATGCATCTTTAGAAAATGTTTGCATTTCCAGAGATGGCATAATCAGTTCCCTGATACACTACAAGCCTTGAAAGCCCGTACAGAATCTCCAAAGCAAATTACATTTCATGGATTTAATTTTTATCCAGGAGTATTCACTTCAGATCAAACAGTATCACTAATTTTCTCTTCAATTCATTCTGACTGGTAAAACATGTATTCATGAGAACAGAAAACCAGTTATTTCAAGCTGAAAATCAGCTGCCCTTATAATTTAATCAGCTGTACTATGAACAGCAAAATAACACAGAGCAAGTCTGGAATTCTCCTCCTTCCCCTACCACAGGTACGGAATATTAACTTACTCAGATGAGGATTTACAACATTCTGCAACTGGACCATGACAGAAAAGGGAAGTAAATGAAAACCTACAGGCAGAACACTGAGCCATGGGCATCTGCTCTATCCTGGTGTTGTTCCTGCACGATGCCACCTCCATCTGGCAGTGGTTGGGGTAGATGTGTCCGTCGGAGCCGCAGACGGGCTCCCCGTCGTAGCCGCAGTCCCGCGAGCACAGGCACTGCTCGAAGTACTCGTCCTCCAGGCAGCCAAAGATGTTGTTGCAAGGGCCAGAGTGGACAAATCCTGGGAATGAGACAAAGCCAGTCAGTTTTGTATAGCACGGGGAAAGTGGAATGTAAATATTTCAAGGATATCAGTTTTTATGTCGAATTCTCTAAGATTTCTAACAGGAATTTACAAACTTGATGGAATTAAAAGCTCTGGGAACAAAGTTGCCTTTTTTCAAAGAACACTGTGGTGCAACAGCTTTCTGAAATGGGACAAAGCAACTGTTTTTTGGTCACACAGCACAGAAAGGAACACACAGTTTCTGGGGAAAGTTATTCCTTCCATGGATGTATGAAATTGTTCAATCTTCCTGCAGTTAACTGTGGGACTCCATTGCAAAATACTGGAGAGAAAGAAAACCAAATTGCATGGTAAAGATTTTTTTACCTCTTTGTTTACTGACACGTCTCCCCTTGTGCAGGTTCTTCTAGAATCAGACATTTTATCTTGCCTCTGAAGCAAGTCACAGTCACTTTATTGCCTGAACAGCACCACTGGTCTGTTTGTCATGACTTTAGCACTGCAACCTCTCAAACCTTTGTGAAATATCCACTAACACAGAGAGCAAAACACAAACATTTGTCTGAATACAATTTTGAGTTCAGAACACCTGTGGGTGCTGTTTTTCCAAAAGATCTGGGTGGTTTTGGGGTAACTCACTGTGGTGGGTTTAGCACTGGCTAAAATCACTAGTGCACTTACTTATTTTTGCTGTGAGATATGGATTAGAAGGGTAAAACAGGCTTAAAATTTAAAAGGTATGAAGAAAATTTTATTAACAGGACTAAAAGAATAAGAAGTATTAGAATAAAATTTTTAGAACTTTTTTCCTTCTCCTTGCCTGTCCTTTTTTTTTTTCTTAACTGACAACGTAGAGACAAAACTTGGGATTAGGCACCGAAGAAGCTCTTAACAGCTTTTCTCAGAAGAATAATTTCCATTGTGTGGATTTTTTTTTCTTACTAAATATTAATTAACATGAAACCAGCACACTCACCAACCCACTGGCTGGCTGAGCTCTCCACCTCGTTGCAGGTTGGGCCATCGCAGAGCTCCCGGGCCAGGGGGCTGTTCTCACTCACGTTGTAGAAACGAGTGGCTTCAAAAGCTGCAGCAGGGAGGAGAAATCACAGCTGAGCCTCCTGCCTGGAGATGTGGTGTCAGCAGGGATCAAAGGGAAACAGGCACAAACCTGGCTCGTAGTAATCGTACACTTTGATAGGAACCGGGGCAGTTTTCCCCACTATGTGCTCTCTGAAAGCTTGGACCTTCACACAGGTCATGCACTGGCTGGGAATCTGTGTGAAATGGTGTAAAAGACTCAAAAATTACACTTGAAGAGAGAGATGAACACAGTATGTGCCCCAAAGTAACACACCAAGCACAAAGACAAGACTCCAAGTACAGGGACAGAGATAATGAATAAAAACCAACCAGGATGAACTAAACCAGGATGCTTTGCTGACCTTTAAAACACATATTTGCCACAGAGGAATGGCAGACACTCCAGCTGTGTTCCCTGGTTTGCCCACAGCCATCAGACAATTTGAGCTGAATTGAATCACCTGTCTCTGTTATACTTCTGTTTTCAAGAGAAACCACAACACCCACCTGCAGCAAAGGAGGCTCAAGCATGAGGCCAGTCAAAGCTGCAGAGTGATCCTCACCCCTGAGGGACCCCAACACTCTGCCTGTGCCTCATCCCCTGGTCATTTGCCTTTCATCAAAATCCAACAGAACTATAAGAAAAAAAAAGTCATTACCTCATCAAAATAAAATAGGACTTTTCTTCCATCCACTTCATATCTTTTTAATCCAATTTGCTTGTTCATCAATAACTGGAGGTAAAAAACAATGAATTAAAAAAAAATCATCGTGTTTAGTTTAAGCTCATTTTATAGAAAACAGGTAGAAGTGAGAGAGTAAGTTTTTGGGTTGCTTAGAAAACTGATCAGACACTGAACTCGAGGGATTTCTTCTGCTGGAAAAGGGTGCTTCCATAAGAGAGGGAAAATGCAAAGAGGTTGAAGTTGCTGTCACACAACTGAGGGGGAAAAGCCACCTGTGTCCTTCCCTGTGTCCTGCTGAGGAATTCTGGCAAGGTGCATTTATCCCCCTGGGACTGTGCTGATGCCTCATCCATAATCTCATTGAGCAGCTCCCAGATTGTTTTCAGTACCAAGGCTCCAGCAAGACCTCAGAGACCCCAAACCACTCAATGAAATCTCTTATTTCCACCCCTCAGACCACCAGGGAATCTCCTGGACCGCACTGGGGATTGGCAGCCCCCTCCTCCCACCAGCTGAAAAATCCAAAACATTCTTCTGCCAGGAAAATTAATCCTCACATTTGAAAAGAGCAGTCATTTGAAAGAGCCCCAGGCACCCTCCCTTTTGACAAATGGGGTCAGGCCAGGCCTCTGCTCCTCATCTTCTCTCCCTTTGAGGCTCAGGGATTTGGAATTTGGGGTTTGCATTGTAGCAGGCAGGCCTACACACCCAGCTCTTCTGCTTTTTAGCTGCACATCTAAGGAACCTTTTCCCCAACTGTGTGCTCTCTGAAAGTCTGGACCTTCACACAGGTCGTGCACTGGCTGGGAATCTGTGTGAAATGGTGTAAAAGACTCAAAAATTACACTTGAGGTGGAGAGAGAGACAAATGAACACAGCATGTGCCCCATCTAAGGGCACTTCCCACATCTCCAAACCTTTCTTTTCAATTTTCCAAAAGTTCCTCCTATGATTTCTGCACTTTGAACATCTCAATACCATGACTATCTTGCCTGAACAAACACTACTATTTTGATAATTTGTATTTAGAATGCATCTGTCACGTGTAAAATATCTAATACTGAGCTGGGGAGGATGAGGATTTGTGGAATAGAACTTTTGTGTTTTAATCAAAGTTTGGGGAGCCAAGATAGGGCCAGAGCACTCTATTCTATAACTCTATTCTCTAAACTGTCCCATGACTTCAATTTCTGTCAGGCAATCCCATTTGTAACAGGGATATTCTTGTGGGTTTTTTTTTGGTTTTTAATGTTACTTTGAGATCACAGGCTAAAATCTCTGTGGAAAGTGGAACAAATCATTATTATTATCATAATAATTATTATAATAATTATTACTACGATTATATACTACCATAATACCATTATTATTTAAAATAACATGGAACAAGCAGCATTCCCACTGAAATTTGCCCAAACCTGCCACCAGCAGCTTTAGCTGTGACTCTCCTCAGCAGAGATTTGTAAAACCCTGCTCCCCAGCTTCCTGCTATTCCTGTAACAAGCAAAGCAACATGTGTTTAAGTCCCACACAATATGGAAAGGGCCAATTTAATTTGTCCTTATAATTTTAGGGGCCTGGTGGTGGCTGTTATTACTCAGCAGTCCATGGCTGCAGACAGTCCTTTTATGAGGGCACGGAGACGCCGGCGCCACCGGGAACTGCTCAGCTCAGCTAAAGCTGCATTTTTTCTGGTGAGGTTTGATAGATCCCAGCCCGGGGTGACCTCCTGACCCTGTCGACATCCAGCATTATTAGGAGGATTTGTGGCCGGGCTGCCCGGGTGTGCACAGAGCGCTCATTAAGCGGAGCTGCCCCGGGGCTGCACGTGGGGCTGCTCCCACCCTGGGACCAGGGAAAATCCTGATTTACAGCCCAGCCCCTCCACAGCAGGCCAGGGAATGGGGAAAAGGCAGCGGGGACAAGGATGGGATTTGTCTCTGCTCCAGGTGGTGCCCAAAGTATACGGTGGAACTTCAGTGGGTGAATTTCATGTTCGGCCCATGTTTGGTAGCCATGAAGAAATCAGAGGTTTGGGTGGGAAGGGACCTTAAAGCTCATCCCATTCCACCCCTGCCATGGCAGGGACACCTCCCACCATCCCAGGCTGCTCCAAGCCCCGTCCAACCTGACCTTGGACACTTCCAGAGATCCAGGGGCAGCCACAGCTGCGCTGGGCATCCTGTGTTCCCCACCCTCCCAGCCAACAATTCCTTCCCAATATCCCATCCAGCCCTGCCCTCTGGCACTGGAAGCCATTCCCTGTGTCCTGTCCCTCCAGGCCTTGTCCCCAGTCCCTCTCCAGCTCTCCTGGAGCCCCTTTAGGCCCTGCAAGAGGTTCTGAGTTCCCCCCAGCAGAGGTGGATTTACAGGTGGGGTTGTAGCTGCACTTTCACTGCCTGTCTATAGATCTGCTTGAGTTTTGTTACCACATTTCATTTTTAGAGATGTAACGGGGTTTCTGCAATAAAAAAAACCATGGAATTCAGCTCTTCAAGGGAAACAGTCCCTCTTGAAGATGCAAAATCCTTCCCAGTTTAGGAAAATCTCCCTCTTTCCAAATGAAGCAATTCTGATCTGGCTATGGGAACAGCAGAGCCTCCTGGGCTCACACACTCCTGACAGAAATTCTTGGCTGTGGTTGCCCCTGGATCCCTGGCAGTGTCCCAGGCCAGGCTGGACAGGGCTTGGAGCAGCCTGGGACAGTGGAAGGTGTCCCTGCCATGGCAGGGGTGGCACTGGATGGGCTTTGAGGTCTCTTCCCACCCAAACCATTCTGGGATCTACTGCAAACAGAAGTGTTTTGTGATATCACACAGCCACCAGAGTGTGGTACCAGCAGCAGTGTCCCTTGACACGAATCCCCTCACGTTAATCATTTATTCACAATTATTCTCAGTGTTCCTCTGCTCAGAACACGCCCAGCACTCCCTGAGCACAGGCAAACCATCACACAGAGCACAGGAGGAGCTTGTGAGCAGTAACTCCAAACAAACTGAGCCAGTCTGGTTCCCTTGGCTGGGACAGCTGTGTGTCAGCAGCCCCAGGGCAGAGCACAGCTGCCCTGGGAAAGGGGAAAGTGCTCAGGAACAGTAACACAAGGGCATGTGGGACTTTCTCTGGTTCCTCAGCCTAGAAACCCTCAGCTCTGTCCCCTGCTGACATCAGGAAAGGAGACATTCACCCAAATTTGTTGTTTCTTCTTTGCACATTGCAGAGCATTAAAAAAAAAAAAAAGCAGTACAGGGATATGTTCCTTAAGAACTTTCCTGTTCTTCTGCAGTGAAATCCCCTTTATGCTCTTTCTTTCAACCCTTTTCCTCTGCTCACAGAACATTCCATAGGTTTAACACCATAAAGATATCCTGCTCTTCTCCTCCTGGGACATTTTGAGCTCTCTCTGGTTCTAAGCCAGGTTCTCATCCATATTTTTTCTGCTATTATTTACATGAATGACTAAGAAAGAGAATGTATTTGACAGCACTACACATGACCCTCACTCCAGCACCTTCAGCAGAGGAGGGAAAGCAGGAACCAAACCCACTGCAGGCCCCCTCACCTAATTTTCCTCCTTTCTCTTCCCATGGGGATGCTGGAGAACTCCTGCTCCTGGCCTTGCCCCCACCTGAAACAACAATCCATTTTACATGCTTGGATTTGAAAAGAGATTTCTCCATGTGCAGGTTGTGAAGGGATATAAATAACTTCAGTTTTTCTCTTTATAGGAATAATTTCATATCTGATCCCCTGAAAGGATGCAATTGCTTCTCAGGGATTAATACAAAAATTTCTGTGGCTTCAGGGACACCCCAGAAGACATCTGACAGCAGCTCCTGATGTGGATTGTAAACCTCTCCAGAGGGCTTTTTCCTCCAAGAAAATGCAATGGTGTTTCAATTATAAATCAACAAAGTCCAGTGAAATCCAAGAGAAGATAAAGCAATGTGCAACTCCTCCTTGAATTATGATATCAAACTGAACTTCACAACGGATCTATTTTAAAATTCTTTCTTCAGATCCCTTCCCCTCCCAATATAATGAGATAAAGTTATTAACAGAAGAGGTCTTTTAGAAGCAAAATATTTTTTAGCTCTTTACTAGCTCTCGAGGATGCAAAACTTTTACACCTCTTCAGTTAAATAATCTTTAAAAAAAAATCTTTGCAGCATAAGAGCCCCACCAGTGAATGCAATGTTCTACAAAATGTAATGAGTTGTAATGAATGTAATGCTCCCACAAATATAAAGCAAAGCTCAAGATTTCAGTTCATCTGCCCTGAAGGGCTGGCTGGGCACGAGGCACATTCTGTCCACCTCAGCTTGGCTGCAAGAAACACGATGTTCTCCCAGAGAGAAGGGGGGAAAAAAAAAGGGCAAAAAATTCCAAGACACAGAGCCTCCAAAGAAATGGGATCCAGATGTTGGAGATAACACAGCCCACTAAGCAGCCATAAACAGCTCCTGTTAGAGCACATTTGCACCTCAACTTTTCCAAAGGGGCTCAGTTAATTACTGTGCACTGGCTCAGGAAAACCTTGGCTTGGCCTGGGTTGGGTTTGCTCAGAACGGCTGTTCCCTCATTTCAGAGAGAGATTTTTTGACAAGTGAAATCTCTTCCTCCCCCTTCCCTATTTTAATTGCATCTTTTCAGCAGTGCTCTGACACTCAGTGGCCTCCTCTTGTCCCTCGAGGGGGGACCCCAGCCCTGCTGTCCCATCGCAGCCCCTTACCTGCTCCAGGCTCTCAATATCTGCCCGAAACCCCGAGAACAAAGGCACTTCCAGCACAGCCATGTTTGAGGATCCAGAGTGCAGCCATCTTCCCATGGGAACAAAAAGAGAGAAAATGGGAACAAACTCAAGATCCAAGACAACAAATGGACAATTCAGAATGAAGAAACTAACTCCAGAAGCAAAAAAAAAAACCCCAAAACACCATATTAAAAGGCTCTCCTCCTTGAAGTGCTTGTGGAAAGACAGTTTGAAAAATCCTCTTTTCTGCTCTTATTTAACAAAATTATGCCCAGTTCACAGAGGGTAGGAGATGTTCTGGAGCAGAGAGGCAGAAAACCAGAGGGATGCAGTCACCTGTGGGGCTGCTTGCTTTCTTTTTCAATTAATCACTGAGAAAATGCACTTGGTAAAAGGAAATAAATGCTTGGAGTAGAAGAAATTTCTATTCCACTGTGACAGGAGGGCTGTAGATGGAGTGTGGTGGGAGAGGGATGCTAATTCTCAACACCAGTCAAGGTCATTCAATCCTGGGGCTTCATAAATGGCTGTTTTACCCCTGACACTGAGAAAAGGGCTTTTGCTAATGAGTCAGCAAAGCCACTGCCTCGTTGGTATTAAAGAGTTCACTGCCTAGATCGTCCTCTGGAGCATAACTGAAAACTCAGAAAATCCTCTGAAACTGAGCTGTTGTTGTGTGTCCAAAGAACCCACACACAGGAAGGTGTGGAGACAAAGTCTGTCAGGGCTATTGCAAAAGTCTCATTTTTTGCAGCATGGCAGAGGAGTCTCCATCCTAACACAGCTCCTGGAATCCCAGAACAAGGCTCCTTTTCTCTGCTCTGCCAGCAGCTCCCAGCCCTCCCTCCTTGGCAGCTCACCTGTTTGCTGTGCACCACCTGAGCCTGGGCCCAGCAGGGCTCATCAGCTCATGGCCAGCACTGAGAAAACACAGTTCCACAGCTTCCAGCACCAAATTTGCCAGCTCTGAGCTGGCTCCTGCAGGGCCCCTCTCTCTGGAGCCCCCTCAGCTCAGGGGGTGGTGAACTGGCTGAGGCTGGGGTGCCCCACCCCAGCCCAAGGCTCACAGTAGCATGAGGTGGCCTGGGGACAGAGCCAGCTGGCTCAGGGTGAGGCACTTCAGGGCTCCCAGAGTCATTAAACCTCGTTAATTCCCATCTAACTCCATGCTCAGCGCTCCCTAATAAATCGTACAGGATCCCTTTGCCTGCATTTCCCCAATCTCTGTTATATATCACAGCTTTCTGTTTTCCACCCTGTGTTCTCCCTAACCCTTCAGAAGTGCCCCAGGGACGTCACTGGGCATGACAACACTTCATTACATCCCGAGAACACCCCCAGCTCAAAATATCTCAGCTGTCATCCCTAGCTGCACTCCTCTCTTCTCACTGCCCAGGCAAGATGATGATGGAGCTGAGAGCATCATTACAGGAAGAAGGGGAGGAAAGGAAGATTTCGTTTGCTTTTGTTTCCTTTCCAAGCAATCCATCTCCCTGCACTGGGCTTCCTCTCAAATTTCTGTCTTAGCTCCAGCAATTCCCAGGACAGAAGTTTCAGAACTATCAGCAGAGGTTGTGCTGATGCAGGGCAGCCTCCTCAGCATCTGACAAGACTGTAGAATTTTATCCTCTCCCCTGAACAGGATGAGGGCTTGGGCAGGGGGAGAAGAGGTTGGCACAGTGACACTGTGGCCCCTGGGACTGCCTGTGCCACAACACAGCCCCGTGGGCCAGGGACAAATGTGGGACTGGCAAAATGAGACCCCATCTTCTCCTGGGGCTCTGCAGGAAGGGGGGCCAGAGTTTCCCATTGAACTCTGATGCAGCCACAATTCTCCATTTCCATCTGAGTCACTCACATTTCTTCATTGGAGGTCAGTGCAGCAGCAGCCCCCACCCCCAGCTGCCATGCTCCTGGTCACAAAAATGCAAAACTCCTGATGACTGCAGTAGTACAAAGGTGTTTAAGCAAAAGTTTAAGTGGATTTAATACTGGTCAGAAACTATTCTTGCTGATGTTTGTCTATAGCCAAGCTGTTTTCTCATAATAACTTGAGTTTTCCAATCTATAAAATGAGACATAACTGTTCATGTCTCTGTAAAGTGCTTTGAGAGCTAGAAATGAAACTTCTGGATCATGCCACTTTTAAAAGTTATTTTATATTTCCTTATATGGAGGAAGGAGATAAGGAATTTGAGAGCTTATTAACAAATATCTGCATGTGTTGTACCTTTACCATAGATTCCAAACTCATACAATGGCAGCAAGCGTCTTCTGTTAGGTTTTTGGTATCCAAAACTGAACCACTAAGGAGCTCAAATAATAAAGTCAAGTCAGTAATATTTATAAAACTATTGACACAATTAAGATATTAGTTAATTAGTTGAATTTACCTTGCTCTTTGAGGCTTTAAAAAAAATAATCCAGAACTTTTTCTTTTCATACTCACACAAGCAAATCACATCACATTTGTAATTTTCAGGATTTGGATAATAATGAAACTCAGTGATAAAACCTCAAGGTGTTGTTCTTATTTCTCTACCTTTGACACACTCTTAGCACTGAAATGATTGAGAATGACCTTGGAATGACTCTGTCCTACAACCCACAGAGGTGCATGAAAGTTCTGCCTCACCCTGCTCGAGATCCAGACGGTGCAGCAAGAAAGAGCTGGGTGCTTTCCTGGCACAGAGGGGCTGAGCAGCAAATGGAACATTCTGTGGGGAGCAGGATTGGTGTTTCCTACCTCGTGCAGGTCTCCAGGATGACTTTGTACTCGCGGTGGTCCTGGTCTGAGGCCGGGTCCTCGTCGTCCCCCAGGGCCCTGTCCCTGTGCAGGGCTCCGGGGCGGTTCTGGGCAGCAGAGCCCGAGCGCAGCGGGGCTGGGGCTTGCAGGTGCTGCTCTGCCTTGGGCTCCTTCAGGTTCACCAGGAGCTGGAAGGCTGGCTTGGCAATAGGATCAGGTACATTGTAAGTGACATCGATCTGCAGCAGGAAGAGGGAGAAGCAAAGCACATCAGGGTGGTTTATTACAGCTCCAGTGTTTCAAAATGTCTACAAATGTCCCAAAAAGGCCAGCACAGAGACAAGATCTCTTCAGAAGGGGAGAATGGCAGGCATAGAGTCTTTTCCACACAGTTATAGCTCTATAAACTCTGCCAGAGCTGATACAGTCACATTCACTTCCTAAATTAAAGTAGCACCACATTTTAGAACTATTTTTAGAGAAATTCCAAGTGTAAGTCCTGCCTCAAAGCAAAGTGGGATTACAAAAGCAGCAAACAGGCTGTGAGGACAAAGAACATCTGCTCCCATGCTTTCTTCCAGCCCCATGAGAACCTTACCTGCATCAGACAGCAGCCTTCACCTTTGGCACTCACAAACAGCCCTGTTGGAATACTGGGGATCTGGGGAGAACACACAGGTGAGACACAGACAAGACACGGCACACAGAATGGAAATTAATATTAAATTTAGCCCTATTATGTACAAAATAACTTTATAAAAGACACTGCAGAAGTGAGGTGAGCATGGCTTAGTCTCTTCACCGCCTGCACTTAAAACGGCAGAGACAAACAGCAGCACAAAATAAACATCAGGCACTGGTTATGGTGAAAGATGCCTTTAAGTAGGAGTGCTGTCTCCTTCATAGCAGAATCCAGCCACAAACTCACAGAAAGTCCCACAGGTCTCACGGCTTAACTTTTGTTTTTACCATCACTGATCCAAGTCCTCATTTAGAACCCAGCTCACGTGGATTGCTTTAAAAATCTGCCTGCACAAAACCACCTACCACTGCAGTCTGAAGGACTTTTTTATTCATCTTGTTAAGCTCAAAGGTCTCCTGGTAGTCCAGGTTAGTAGAAGCCAAGGAAATGGTCAGGTTGACTCCTCCAACATAAGAAAGGATGGCATATTCAGCCAGAGCCTGCAGGGCCACACAGGTGTCCTGGGGGCCAGAAGAGGGAGAAATCAGAATAGTGAAGAACACAGGAGCACAGCAAACTTCCAAACAGCTCTGCTCAGCTCCAGGTGGCACAGTCTTCCTTATTAATTCATATGGCAAAAGAAACACCAGGTTTTGCTCACTTTTCCTATCAAAGGCACCTCCTTTGCTTTGAGGACAAAGTCTGTATTCCTTTCAAATTACCAGTCCAAGGAGGAAGCAGTAAAGAGAGCTGGGAAGTTTTTCTTCTCACCAGAACACAAACAAATTCTGTCAGGAAGATGGAAACTCTGCATTCCTGAATCAATTGCAGTGCATGCATCCCAGCTACCTGTTCCAGAGGCAGCCCACCTGGGTAGATGAGAATCCTCCCAGTGCATTCCTCTGCTGTGAGAGCCACTTGACCACAGGGAGTGCGGAGGCCACGTCTCCCAAGAGTGTGTAGGTCAGAAGGGCATAAGATGTCATTTCCACTTCTGCAGAAACAACTGAAAGGGGAGTGAATTAAATAAAAAAAAAAATAAATCAAAATACTACCTAAAGGGCAAGAATCCAGGCAGGTTTAGAGATAGTTCTATGAATATTTTTAAACTGAAAAATAATTCTAAAAAGTTAAGAGTCTGCAGAAGTAACCATATGAAAATGGAAGTTAAAATGTCTGCACCCAAGGTACTTCACCTCCTAAGATATCTCTGCTTTCAACATAAGCCTCCCTTCACACAATAGATAACCAATAATAAAGATATTCACACAAGACATCAACTCCTTCTCCTTGACTTCAATTCCTCTCCCACTCCAGTTCTACTCTGCTGCTGCCCACACTGTTGTCCTGCCCTAGAGATTTTCATACAACATCCAGTCAGATCCCTCTTGAACATTGCTGCACCTGCATTATATCCAAAGAGTCAATGGCTTTAAGTGGCTTGAAAATTACAGCATCACTGTAATGATAACTTACTGTAACTTACAGCCATTGTTTCTGTGGCTTTGACAGCCAAAGTCTAGAAAAATCAGCTGAAGTGTCAGTGACCAGTGATACAATCCTTAGGTCCATTTGAAAACACAAAGATAAATAGCTCTAAAATTAAATATACTTGAATTCACACAGATTTCCATTTTGAAGTATTACTCCCTGACAGAACAGTGAGAGCCACATGGGATTCTGTCTTTATAAACCTAGAGTGAAAGCTGATGAGACAGCTGGGGCTGAAAATCCTATCCTGTCTGAACCACATCTTGCTCTGTCTCTCATTTATTCTTTCAGCATAATGTTACCTGCCTTTTCTGAGCTCTCTTGTCTCTGGACCCTGCCCTGACTGACAGTTTTAGAATACCCTGTATTTTATAAACAATTCACTGTAATCCATGCAGGCTGGTGTGGCAGCCCCTTCCCTTTTCTCTGCCTTCGCACTGCAGGTTCCCAATTACCTGATTGGGAGAGTCCATCATTAAAGCCCATGAAGGTGTCTTCATCAGTGACAAGGGTTCCTGTGAGGCTCCAGTGTGTAAAGCCATCTAGGAGAAGAGGGCAATGGGACATGGGTGTTACCAGAGCAGGAGTGCAGCTGAGCCTCTGTGCATGGGAAGAGTCAAATTCCACTTTTGCATTGGCTCTGTGCCCTGAGCTGCACTGTCCCTCCTTTTGGACACCCAGTCCCTGGGGCTCCCTTTGGAATGACAAAGATGATTCAGTGTGACAAATGGGGTCATTCTTGGATTTTGGATTAAATACACCATCAGGGAATGTGAGGTGTTACAGGGCAAACTGTCACTGTGAGGAGAGAACTGCAGAGCCTCTGAACAGCCTGCCATCACTCTGCTGCTTAGGGAACGCTGCTGCTGAACACCAGGGCTGTGGCTCTGACCTCTGTGTGGGCCATTCACTTAGGAGCTGATCCCTTGCAATTCAGAATATTCTGTGATCCTGCTGCACTTGCCTTCCTTCAGCACCAGCCACACATGTGGAGCCCTCTACAAAAACAGCCCCCTTGCCTTACAAAGCCAAACTGCCGTGAGCAACCCCTCATCTCCCAGGCCCCGTCCTCTCTAGCAGCTCAGCATCCAGGCTGTGCTGGGCTGCTGCTGTGAGGGGCAGAGCTCAGGGCTGGCTCATACCCTGGGTGATGGCCATGCTGTTCATCCTGCGCAGCATGGCAGCCGCCGAGGGGCTGTGCAGCAGGCTCAGGGCGTAGGCGCTCAGGGCCGTCGTGTAGGGGTCCTCTGCTGAGTACAGGTTGGACTCCAGGAAATGTTTTGCTTTGTCAACAGCTGTTCTTTCTTCCTACATTCACAGGGGAAAGAGCCCAGAACAGATGTACCAGTCTCAGAAGTTAGAATGGCTTTATTACTCGTTACATCGTGCCCATTAAAAAATCCATCCAAACAAAAACCAACAAAAAAAATCCAAACAAAAGCAACAACAAAAAAAACAAACTCAGAAAGATACATTTTGCTCCCTGCAGAACAGCTTTGAAAAAACAAACTCAGAAAGATACATTTTGCTCCCTGCAGAACAGCTTTGACACTCTCCCTAAGAAAAGAAATGCATCAAAAATTCAAGAAAAGGTGCAAACAGCAGAGCAAGAATGATTTAGGCTAACACTGAGATACACTTTTTCCCCCCTAAAGGTGAAGAAATTCCATGTCCCTGCAAGGCAGCAGATGAACAGGGCAGGGGTGAGCTCTTTACTGTAGGTTTGATTGTGTTCCTGACACTCTGGAGCGTCTGGCAGACGCCAGAGGATAATAAAGGCCAAGGTTCCCAGGGGTCCCTGCAGCCAACAAACATGTTTTATTAACTCCCCCAATGACCTCACCATGCAGGAACGTGGCTCTGATAATTTATAGAAACAATTTAATTGGACTTGATGTAATTTGGTTTCCTTTGATTTCCCTGTGGCACTAACCTTCCCCTTCCTCATTTCCTAGCTAAGATCATTAGGAACACTCACAAATCTCCTCTAGGAAAACCATTAGAATCCACAGAAACTGCACTGCTGGGGCTGCCTTGACACACAGCAGCCCAGAGAGAGCATCACGTCACTGCTCAGAGGGGGACACTGCTGACAGGGAGGCAGGAAGTTACTCTGTGAGCTCTGCAGAGTTTTCTGAATTTTTAATAAGGTTGAAAACCTTCCACTCCAACGAGGACAGGGGGTTAGGGGGCATCTGTCTGCAACAGCAGCCTGGTCTCACTCTTCAGGCTCCACAAGGATGGATGAGGAGTGCTGAGGTTATCAGAGCTCCTGAGTGGGCACTGGCTGTTCTGACACCTCCACAAACTCACGGGGCTGTGCCTGAACAGACCCTTTTGTCTGAGGGCAGATCACCAGGAGATGCTGCAACATCCACTACACCTCTTTTCATCTTCCAGGCAGCTCTGCCTGTGCACAGCCACCACTGCCCCCTCCCTTGGCTGAAGGGCAAGGGAAATCTTCCCAGTCCTAGTTAGTGGGGATGTGTCACTATGATCTTATCTAAACATCTCCATTCTAGTGCAGCTGCATGCTGGCAGAAACACATCAGGGGGTGGGAGCACTGTTTTACCAGGAGTTTTAAGAAGGAATCCCTAAGCCACCAGTTATACTGGGAGTTTGGGGTTTTTTCCAGTGGAATTGGCTATTCTAACATAGCTGCTTCTCTTTCCTGCAGTGTTCCTGCTCTGTCTCATTGCAAAGGAGAGAAACTTTTCTCTCCAGAGCCCTCAGTCCAGCCCGTTGCAGGAGCTCAGCTCTCTGAAAGCACTGTAATCTAACAGCAGTAGCATTTTGGCCACTGCAGCCAAGCCAGACCACAAGAGTTCTCTGGATCCCCAAGTTAAACTGCTTTTAGCACCAAGCCAGGATTTCTGAGTCTCTACAGGCAAGAGACCAGGATCTGCACAGGCTGCACTCACAGCTTAAGCTAAGAGGCAGAAAACACTTTCTGCAGTAATTTCTTGGAGTGGTTGAGGGATGGGGCTGCAGGGAAGTGTTTTGCTCTGGTGGAATAATCATGAGCTGATGGCTGAAGGGTGGGAGACCACCTTGAACAACTTCAAATTCCATAACTTCAGAACAATCCCAAGGCTTTCCAGCAGCCTCTCTTCCCTGGATGCTGTCAGTCATTCTAGAGAGCACAGAACTGAAGGCAAACAGCAGCAAAATGAAGTTTAAAAATAAAAGAACAGAGAGAATTTTTGAAGCTGTTTTAACTGAGCTTTTGTTACCTCAGAAGTGACACCTGTTTCCAGAAGAGATGCAACCACATAAGCTGTCAGGGAGATCTTCCCATGGATCCCACCCTGGAACGACAAACAACACAAACCAGTGAGTGAAAACCAGAGAAAAGGACACTGGAGGAAGAAAAAGAAACTTTGAAACAATACAAAGGATATGTTAGAACTAGAGGAGAAGCTGAAGCATCACCAAATTTCTTTTCTTTGCACACAAGGAGTATAAAATTTAGGAACCCAAGCCCACTGTGGTTGGGGCCAGGTCTCAGCTGTCCCTGGCCTGAGGACACATTTAATGCAGTATTTTGTAAGAATTCACACCTTGCTTTCCATCCTCTGGGGACACCCCACAGACACATTCTGACAGACCATTTTTAACTGAAATTCCCCTGGTTCTCCCTGTAGCATTGCAGCCTTTCAAGTGTAAAATTCATATTCAAACTGCATCACTTCATGTTCTGATAACAACTCTAAAAATGTCCTTGCTGATCCCGCGTGGTTTTTACCTGAATGTCCTTGTTTAGAATCCTGCCCATAGCAGGGAAAGAACCATCTTCTTTCTGGTGCTGGATGATCCAGTCTTTGGCAGCTGTGAGTTCTTTGGGGTCAATGAAAATAAACCCACGAGACTGAGCAAAGGATTTGAGCACAAAAGCTGTTAACCTGTAAAAATGAATTAACCATCTTTACTGAGAAAACAAATTCAGAATAGAAAGTAGTTGTATGGAAAATACTATGTTCTTGGAAAGCACAAATTGAAAAAAATCTTATTGAGAAACACTAAATATTGTTGATAAAACGTTTATGGAACATAAAAGCACCCAAACACTGTCCAGGCTTTGGATAAGAAAAGGATTAAAGGTCAACAAACTAAATTGAAAAGTAGAACTCAATGGTGTATTTGTCAAAATTATGACACACTCTAAAATATAGCTCTTTTTTATCCCAAATTATTGAAGTTTTTCAGATCAGACTCAATATTTTAAAATGAAGAATCAATATATTTCTCATAAGAAATCCAGATCCTTTCCTCAAGCCTGAAAGCTGTGTTACACTTTATACAGAATTAAGACTTAAGAAAGCACCAGAAGTGATTTTGGAATTCTAAACCTCTGACAGCAAGTGTGAGCACTGGCCAGCTTCAGGGGATTGAGTCATTGCATTGACAAGCCCCTGAGGAATGGGAGGGTAGCACACACTGCTGCCTGGCAGGGGATTTTTTGAGTGTTGAGTAATTCTGTGTCACTGTATCTCACATCCAGGGGCTGGGATGGAAGATCCCTGTCTCAGGAAGAGCAGGGCAGTGGTGGTGCTGCAATCAGAGAAAACCCAAGCATGGATGGAGCAGAGGGATGGAGCCCTGGATGTCCAGAGCTGAGCCCTGGGACTGATGCCACACAAACCTCCCAGGCTTGTCTTTGAGGGGTTTTGAGCTGGTTTGGTAATTTTTTTACCTACCCTGGTAAAAGCTTCTCCCACTTACAGAGACAGCACATTTCCCTGTACTTGCTTCAGGTAAAACTCCATTCCCTAATGGAATCAGGTGCTTAAATGCTCCATAATTGCTACTCCTACTGCAGATATAACCCTTAACTACAGCTTTGTGCCTGAAACCTGGACTAATTAGCAGATTTAACTCTCTAAACTGCTCCTGAGTCCTGAATCATCTACAACACATCACCTAATGTAGTCAGAGCACTCAGCAGCACTGTACAGCAATTCTGTAGCCACTGAATATTCTTGCATTATTTCTGTTTTCCACTGTGTGTGATACCACGAGAGAAGCTGGAAAGTTACTCCTCTTTCCCAGCCAATTGTATATTTTTCCTGTTTAGCAAGCACTTAGCACTTCTCCAGCTCAGTTTTAAATAGTTACTCACCACATGCTCCCTGATGAGTCCCTCTCCCCAAAAGCACTGTAGGAGCCGTCCTGCCTCTTGTAGGTCAGCTGGCGCTGGTAGCCTGGAAGCCACAAAAGAATTGGGGGAGTCCAAAATCTCCTCACACAGAGAAAAACAAGTATTTAAAGTGAATGAAGACTCAGAACATCTGGAACATGTGTAAGGGATTCTGCTGCCCGAGGCAGCTTCTTATTCTGCTGTGAGTGAGAGCCAGCTCTGTGTGCAGTTCATCCAGAAATCTGCTCAGGATAACATCTGGACCACTGCAGCTCCTGCCTTTTGGACACTGGAAATGCTAAAAAGCTGATACTTCTCTGAAAAAAAAAATGCATTATCAAAAGGTTTTGACTTAAGTATAAAGCCACTCTCCTTCCATTTTACTTCCATTTACAAATGAAAAGGTTTTGCCTGTGACATTACAGCTGGATTCAGACTTTCCCCAAAGCTGTTGCTTGGAATGAGTTCACATAACATCACAACAGCTGTGATCTCTGTGCACGTGAACAGCTGCAAGGGCTGTCCCAAGGCTTGTTTTAGACATCACTATTAACAAGGTGAATGCTGAAGATAAGAACTCTCTCCTGGAATGTCTTCTGAGGTTGAAAATGACAAAAGAATAGAAATGCTCTTTTTCTGCCAGGAAAATGATTTACTTCTCAAACCTGTTTGTCTACACCCTTGTCCATCCTAGCAAATCCTCCACAGGGATGAATACACAATCCACACTTGGATAAAGCTCTGAAACACCCATTGGAGTCAAATCCCCCAGGATGGATATTTCTGATAAGGAAAACTCCAATCTGCAAGAAGATTGTGTCAAAAGACTTTTCATGCCTGCTGAATTCTGCAGCAGGGGAGGAGGTGTTTTATTCCACTCCACATGACGTTTTTATGGGAGAGGATTATTGTTTCATTTCCGGAGGTGAAGTTTCTCTGCTGACCTCTGCAGATACAGGCAGCTCCTCAGTCCCTGAGGAGGGGCTGCCCATGGCTCCCACACTTCCCAGTTGCTCTGTAGCCCCCCAGTGCTCACTGGGAATGGCCTGAAAAATGGGAGGAATGAAGACCTAGAGATTGATGATGCTCTTGTAGTCACCACATCTTTATCAGGGGGTGGTGGGATAGGTACAGATACCTGGCAGAAAGCCTAAGTAATGGTATTGTTTTTTTCTTCTTCCAAAAAATAAGTGTTAAATTAAATTAAATTTCTTATATTTTATATCCCTCTTCTCATTGTTTCTGTTCCTCTCTTTTTCAATGTTCATGGTGTCAGTACTGCCAAGGCTGTGGGTTTGACCCCTGCATGGGCCATTCATTCCAGAGCTGGACTTGATGATTACAGTGGATCCCTTCCAGCTCAGGATATTCTGTGATTTTGAGCTGGATTATGCTTCATTGCTCTTGCTACTGTTCTTTGGTTGTTGGTTGTGAGTGGCACAGCACAGACTTTATGTCTTGCTTGCTCTTCTGAACCCTCCTCTTTTCTGAACACTCTTCTGGATGCTGGGGCTCACAGGAGAGGTTCCCCTCTCCAGTTTTCCTCTGCCCACCTGCTTTTTTTTTGTGGGGAAGTAGAAAAAATACTGATTGGTTTGTCCCAGGCCACTTCTAAAGAAGAGGGAATACACAGGAATTGTTGGGTATCAGCATTTTCCATGATTAAGGGATGAAGTTTTCTGGCTTGGTAAATCACAAAAGCCTTCTAGAGTGAGCATTTCCCATCTAAACCTTGTACTTGGCAGGGCTCCAGTAAACACAGAATGGTTTAAAACTCTTGGGGGTTTCTTCTGTAAGGGTTAATTAGCAAACAGAGTTTGGAGCCAAAAACCTGGAAGGTTTGCAGATTCATAAAAAGAAACAAAAGCAAATGATGTTGCAAAGGAAACACTGACTCGGGCCATTAACAAATTCCCTTTGCCTCACTGCTCCCAGCAAGCACAGAAAATTACAAGTGAAATGACTGGAGCCAGGCAGAGGAAGCAGCACTGGGCTTTTGCTGCTGAACACAAGAAATATCTCACATATTACATTTTATATTTATATTTTCAGAGGAGAACCACCTAACCCTGTCACCTCTGATTTCATGACATGACTATTGTCTGACTCATACACAAGAGAGCTTTGTCCCTTTGGGTCACTCTTGTTTTTAATGATCTCTGAATTCTTACTTGTCCTGAGAATTGCACTTAGTTATAAAACTATTTTGCACATGGCTTTCCCCAAAACAAATGCTGAGAAAAACAGTGGGAAAAAAAAAATAAAGGTTGTTTTGAGCTGCTTAGTAAAGTAGGACAGGACATTGAAAGGACTGATAACCTAGAGCCATGTAATGAAGGCTTTTAACTACTTTGGATACTAAATTTTGATTTTTGGTATACTGTTACTAAGAAAACACTGTTGAAAAAAAAGTCCAGAGAAGAGCTATAACTCTAGTAACTAAAGGCTTGGAAAGACAAATTATGAATAAGGCAAAACCCCCTAAATATACAGATTTTTGCTAAATTTCATTTCCTTAACTTTTTAAAATGTTTAAACATAGAAATCAGCTAAGGAAGAAAAGATGAAGGTAAATCAATAAACATGTGAACTAGGAGTTACTGAAGGGAAACACAGGTTACATATCAAGGGAAAGGGTCTTGCCATCAAAATCTGTCAGACTGTGAGATCATCCTGCAAGAAATGATGAATCCTCATCACTTGGGCTATTCTTGATTGGAAAAAGCAACATGTAAAGTAAAACTATTAATTCAAAGTCTTCTCCATCTCTAAATTTAATTGCAATGAGTTACCTTGAACAAGGTAATCGGTAGCTTCAACCTCCACCTCGTGGCTGAGCTGCTTGGTTTTCTGCAGGTATTTCAGGACAAAGACATTGGGAGCAAAATGGATCATGTTCTGCTCCCCACAGCCAAAGGGCAACCTCAGCAGGTTGTCCAGGTTGTTCAGAGTAGGACCCATCACATCTCCTGTTTGAGAAAGAGGGGAATTGCTCAGGATCAGGCAACTGAAGTTTCCTTTTGGTGTTTGATGATTAAACCCCACTGACTGCACTGATATCTCCTGGCTACCCCAGAGTCAGCTCAAATAAACTGTGACATAAGTGGGAAGTCCTTCAGATGATAAATCGTAGCCCTTCAATCTCTTCTTGGATTAAAGAAATTCTGCATTTCAGCCTTTGATTATCCACGACTTCCCTTTGATTATCCACAGCTTCCCAGTTTAGACCAGTTTAGGACACGGCACAATTTGTGATGAGGATGACAATGCAATAAAAACCATGAACTATAACAGACAGTGCCCCTGCAAAGCCCCTCACGTGGCATCAACTTGAAGCCACTGTCAACCCCAACAGGCTTCAAACAAGTGACAAAGAAACCCCAAGGAATTATCTGCCCCAGAATTAAGCAGTAATAAACATTTCTAAGTGCCTGTGACTGTTTTATCTGGTGTGCATTACTCAAGTACTGGTCAGAAGTAACAGCTGGAGCATCTGTTCACATTTGATAAAGGGTACCTAAGTGATACCTCCTGATAATTGATACCTATTATTGAAGCCGTAGCTCTTTCTGATCCTGGAATTATGTTGTGGGGAACTCCAAGAGTAAATGCTTCATTGTGATTTTCATCAGTCTCTTCTTTTCTCCAAATTTTAAACTCTCCCATTGACCCCCAGCCTGTGGAAAAGCCAATGTACTTCACCTCAAGCTGTTTGGGGACAGTCCACTCCACAATAATAGATTCGTTTAGCACCCGAGTACCGTGGCCAACCTGGAAGGGACAAGAGACCATGGAGATCCAAGAGCCCACACACGTGGAGCTGCTCTGCCTCGTGTGCTGGGACACCTCCCAGCTCAGATGTGCGCTGCAGATGCAGCAACACCTCTCTCTTTCCCACCCACAAAACAATCCAAGGCAGTTCAATGAGAATTCCACAGGCTTGGCCTTCAAGGCTGTCATCAATAAAAATATTGAGGATTGAGGTCGTGAGAACATAATGGTGATAAAAGCAGATTTGTTCTGATCACAACAGCTTCAGAAGGAAAAGGTAACAGGAAGGAAGTCCCACCTTCTAAACCAAGGAAAAACTGCTCTCTGTGTGCTCAAACTCTGCTTAAAAAGAGACTTCCAGACCATCACACAGAAGAATTCAGTACCTGGATAACTCCATTTTTCCAGCTGATCCAGAAGCTGCGGAATTCATCCCAGGAGAGGATGCCAGGCGTGTCCCTGCTGGCCACTGGCTCTCCCATTTTGCTGGTGGAAATCCAAGTTTTGGTGTTTTGCTGTCCCCCAATGACGATCTCTGTCATCTCTGCCATGTCGTGGGGGCCAGAGGACAGGGCCAGGTGGGCATCGTTGTGGGCCTTCACAGCAATGTCAAAGTGCCTCATCTGGGCTGGTTTCTGCATGTACTGGTACTCATATTTGTTAGGTGTGGAAATGTGTATTTTCTCTAGTCAGAAAAACAAGGGAATGTTGTAAGAATTAGAGCTCATCTTACAGACATCAAAAATAACCCCTGGCTGATAACTGAAATTCAAACAGACCTTTCGTAAGTACATGGGGGTTGTTTCCAGCTTCTTTAAAAGAATTAAAATACACATGGATGTTTTTTCTCATCTTTTATTTTTACCTCCTTCAAGGCAGAAAATCCTTCAAACTGCTCAGCTGAATTTCTTATGAACTCAGCAAGTGATTTTTTGGTTCTAATCTAGTGGTCAAAAGCATCTCTGTTTAGCTACTGGAGCCAACTCTGAGCTATCCAAATCTCTGGCAGAAAAGACAGACTGATTCCAGAGCTGAATCTTAAAACACCAGCTGAAAATAAAGTACAGTCCCAGTTACTGTCCACAGTGCTGAATACTCAAACTGTTCCATAAAGTAAAGGAATTTAATGGCCATTTCCAGAAATCACTTGGGCTGTTAGAGCAAATTCATAATTAGCCAGCCAGGTAAATAAAGACTCTTTATTTACAAGTTGTTCCTACACACCATAACTCATCAATCACAGAGAAATGGAAACAAAGATTTTTTTTATTGATTTTTTTTTTTTTTAAATGAGATGAAGCCAAATGTTTCTTTTTAAAACTGATTCAAACAAACTGAATATATTTCATTCAAATCATGAACTTACCATTTGGGCAGAAGAACACACTGTAGGTGTATTCTCTGGACAGTCCCTCTGGCTGTAGAAAGACAGAAATCCACACATAAACCACAGGGCTTGGATTAGCAGCAACAGACTCCAGTTTTACTTGGAAAATATAGAAATTATTTTTGCTGCTGTGCAATGGTTTATATCCTCTATAGAAAAGTGATGGCACTGTGTTCTGTTAGCCAGAGCAGTGCTAACCACTGCTAGAGAACCTTCCATTTTATCATATTTCTTAGATTAACAGGGCAAGCTTTTCCCATAAAATGGCCATTGATTTTTCTCTGTGTTGAAGATTCACCAGAGGAGCTCAAATGGGCTGTTCCTGTACAAGTACCACTAAAGCTGATTATTTCCAATCTCCTTAACACACTGTAAATCAACTTGAGGATCTTTATAAACCTATTCACCTTTGACTTCACCATTTGCCCAAGCATTTCTTTTTCCCTGAATTATCATAAATTCGTGTTTTCTCACCTCAATAATGACACTGCTGCGAACATAATCCACCCCCACAGGGGTCCTTTTGTCCATGTAAGAGTCCTCTGAGTGTTTGCTGTTCTTCAGGGTCTGCATCCCCTCCTGACAGCAGTTGGTCCCACCATAGGCAAAAGCTTTTGCTAAGAAACAGAAGGGAAAAGCAGCCAAGATTTTGAGATAGGAAGATCTCTAGAAATCAAAGAGATCCAAACTAATTAGAAGTAGCTCATTAACAGTACATCAAGTGCTGTAATTACCTCTCTCTCATATTCCCTTTATCCATATTTGAATGATCACATCTAAAACTGGGCAATATTTGAACAATCATGGGACAACAGAGAAACTCTTCCCTGCTTTTCAGTGTTGCTAACACTTTTTACTGGGATTATTTGAACAGAAATTGTCGTTATTCTCTTGTTTAAAAATTTCCACTGATCTCTTCAGGGAAATGTAACAGGCCCAACCTTGCATGAGCAAATATCACAGCAGGAAAACTGATGTTTGTTTGTGCATTCAGTGCATTACAGGCAGGGAATTTGTTCCTATGATAAATGAGGCTGAAAAGCCACACTGGCAGCAAGCGGAATGAAAGAACTGGGGCAATAGGGAAATAAGGATTTTCTCTGAGAGAGGAATAAGAAGAAACACTTTTAACACAAAACCCCTCCAAGCACCAAGAAGCTGTTTGAGTTCTGTGTACCAGTGATGTTGCTCAGGCCCAGCTCACTGAAGGACAGAACGATGGAGGTGGGTTTGGCTTCCCCAGGGGCCACACACTTCTTCCTGGTCAGGTGGTGCTTCCCAGGGTGCCCAACAAACTTTATGCCTTTTGGGACAGAAATCTTCACGTGGACCTGTGAAAGTTTTGGAAATGTCATTTATTGGAAATATCAGCCACAAAGCCAAACTGATCTATGTGAACCCCACAGAATTCTTCACAAAAATCACAGATTATTCATTCTTCAAAGTTTCTAGCCATGGGTTTGACTGAGAGCAGTACTTTCAGCTCAGCAATTCTACAAGTATTTCTGGGAGAGGCTACTGGAGCTGGGCAGATGGGGAGTATGAGAAGAAAACATCAAGGGAGATGGAATTTCTTAGGGAAAAAAATCCTTCAAAATAAACTATTTTTGTCAGCTTTTTGATTATGAAGGAAATTCTTCTTTGTGGTTCAGCACAAGATTCCAAATTGTCTTCTCAGTCTTTTTCAACATTTCCTTTTCTGAAGTGCTGCAAGACATTTCAGCCTACCACAATAAATAAAGAGATGCCATTTATTTGAGTAAAAAAAAAAAGCAATATTTATCTTCTCAAAGCATCTCTGCTGAGCTTACCTCTCTGTTAGTCTGACACCTTATCCTACTGTGGCTCGTGGACCACTCACCAGCTGTGGTGGTGACCCAGAGCTGAGCCAGGGGCAGGGCTGAGCTGTTACCTCTGCACACACAGCCAGGTAATTGTAGACAGTGAGGGGGATCTTGGTCTGCTCGCCCCTGATGACGTGGTAGGGCAGCGTGAAGTCGATGAAAAAAGGTTTGAACGTCTTCAGCTCTGTCTGGCTGGCAATGCCCAGCCCCTTCTCCTCAGACAGAGCCACGGCCTCCGTGATCCACGTGGTGATGGAGTCGGGCACCTCCACTCGCAGCTGGGCTTCCCCTGAGCTGTTACTGCCAAAGGAACACACAAAAACTCGGCTTGATCACATGGATTAAATGATTTTTAATGAAGTCCCCAAACATTTTGGGAAATTCCCTCCAGATCCAGATTTATAAGATAGCATCCTCTGCTTTGAACTTTACAGAAGGCTCTGTATTTTCTATCAGTTTTAGGACCTGCAAATATTTATAAAGCAGCAGAAAAGCAAACAGTTACTTCTGCAAAACAAATTCTTCCTCAATTAAAAACTTCATTTGCAACCTCATTTCCAAGTCACTTTTCTTAGAGGCAAATATCTGCGCTAATAAAAAAAAAAATCTAAACAAAACCCTGAAACCAACCCCAAAACAGAAAATCTAATCAAAATCTAAAAAGAAAATCTAATCAAAATCTAAAAAGAAAGACAAGAAATAAACCCAGACTGAAGTCCTGGATAAAAACAGTTCAATAATAATTGATTTAATTGCTGGTGAAATAAAAGTGGTTTTTGTTGGAACTCATTGTCCCTGTGTCCATTGCCACACTGTGGACTCTGCTTGAACACAAAAACAAATGAGAAACTTTCTAAACATCCAGTTCAGCAACTGCTTGTTTTGATTCAGAAACATTTTGGTTTGCTTGGTTTTGGAATGACTGACTTAGAAAATTTCCAAACCTATCATTTCCTTTCAATGAGGATTGAAATTATTTATTAAAAATCAAATCTCTGAGTATTCAGCTTTCCTGTGCATAGCACAGTGAGATATCATAAACTTGGTAGCCTCTTCCACGCTTTATAATAATAGAAATTCAGTTTTGTTCTTCAGACTTTGCTATTTCCCTCCTGCAAAGCAGTCTTGGACCTGCCTGGAACAGAAAACATTTCATCTAACACAAGAACAAAAGCTGTTTCATGGCTCAGCTGGCAGGATGATTGGTGCAGTTGTGAGTACACCCTAAGGTTGTTTTTTCTCAAGTTCTTGTTTATTCCCCAGAGCTTGACACGCATGCTGCCAGCTCTGTAGGCTTTTGGGGGCATGGAAAATGAGAAGGAGAGGTCTTCAGAAGCAGCTCTGAAAGTGTCCAGGACTACAGGCCATCCTCATCTGCAGAGGTGCCTGATGCACCCAAAACACACCCAAGGGCTGCACTTCCACTGCTTTTCAGATGAAGTTTGTTCACACTTGATTTGCTTTGCTCCTCTAAAGGAAATCTCAGTGAGCCTGAAGTTGTTGTTCCTGTCAGGAGCCAGGCAGCTCATCAGGGACTCAGCTCTGTGTTTGTGTTACAAAGGGAAAGGGTTGAAACAATAAAAAGGGGAGATCACTGTGCTTTTTATAAGCTCTGTCAGACTCCAAGCACTGGCTGGTGAATGTGGTTCCCCCAGCTCAAACTCCAGGGGGAAAAGCCTTGGGAGATGCACTTGTATCATAGAAACATGGAATGGTTTGGGTGCCATGGCAGGGACACCTTCCACCATCCCAGGCTGCTCCAAGCCCCGTCCAGCCTGGCCTTGGGCACTGCCAGGGATCCAGGGGCAGCCACAGCTGCTCTGGGCACCCTGTGCCAGGGCTCCATCCCCCTTAGAGAAAGATTTCTTCCCAATATCCAGTCTAAACCTACTTAAAGGTTGAAGTTATTTTATCTCCTTTTAAGCAGACTGGTTCCCTAACCCTTAGGTTAGAGATACCTGCACTGATGTCCAGCCCCCAGGACCAGGCAGCAGGGTGTCCTGGCTCCAGGGCTGGCAATATTCCAGCCTGTTTAACCGGACAATTTGTTGCAGCTGATGTTCTTTCCACTGGGATTTCAGCCCATAACCAGCATTAACATTATTTTCACACATGAGGGCACTTACTCTTCTGGGCACAGGGCCAAAGTACACACTCATTTCCAGCCATTAGACCCTCCAGCCAGGCTCTAGGAATTTTTAGAATTGGTTTGGGAAGTTGATATTAGGCTTTTGTTTCTTTTTTTTTTCTTTCTTTTTTTTTTTTTTTAGGATTGTATATTATAATTATAAATGGTAGAAGAAAAAAAATAAATTCTTTCTGTTCAAGAGAGTGGAAATTAAGGAATGCTCCAACTCAGTTGTTTCTAATGAAATGAAGTGGAGAAAATGCAATCTGCAACTTTTTATTCCACACTCTCCCACTTATAATTAACTGCCCCAGCTTGCTGAGGCCCAAACGGGCACTTCTGGAATTCTTTGTGTATTTCTACAAAGCATATTTCATGCTCAATTGAACAGATTTGAATACACTTGCTCCAAGTTCCTGTCAAATTTAATTTACAATCATTTATTAAGAATGAAGTTTACTTGCAAACCTGGAGAAGCCTTTTAATAATTGATTCAAATTATCCTAGCTGTGCTGTTGTGGGACAGATTAGTTATCTCTTAAGGAATATTTTTTTTTTAGTTCCAACTGTACCCAGAGGAAACCAGGATTTATGAGGCAGCAGATTGAGGTCTGGGGGAGATGCTCTTGCAGGAGATGACAGAGAAAGAAGGGCTCTGTGAAATTTGAAAAGGAGTCAATAGAGAATCAATGTGGACACAACTGACAGGTTCAGCTTGAAGCAAGGGAACACTTCAGGACCAGAGGAAATGTTGCAAAGATTGAAGTGGTAATGAAGCGAAACACCAGCAATGGAGGAAAAAATAATAATTTTTTTTAAAAAAATCAGAAAATGCCAGGGTAACTCATTAGATTTTAAAGAGCTTGGTTTTCTGTAGCTGAAGAGAACATTGGATATAATTAATGCCAATACCTGACATTGAGGCAGTGCCAAATCCACGTCTCAGGGAAGAAGGTTCTTTTCCTCTTCTCTGCTCTGCCAGAACAAGAAACAAATCCTTGCAAATCGATTTTTTTAATAAGATATTTTCAGGAGTCACTGATAAACAGAAACAAGAATCTAAAAAAATAGTACAAGTAAGATAACCTTTGAAACCAGGAGAAATAATGTAGCCTAAAATAAAATTGGTTTGTGATCCAAATTCTTTCACCAAATGGAATCAAGGGGAACAAAATACAATACATGACTTCCAGAGCAGATACTACAGCCACTACTTGATCTCTTCCATCCCTTCTTTTTGAATTGTCTTGATTTCTAATACTTTAAAAATTTAAATCAGCTTTTCTATGCCTGTTATGCTTCATTATCTATTTCTTAACTAACCCCAGAATTTCCTCTGCTAAAAGAGGCTTCCAGGAAGTTCAGGAGCAGAGGGAAGGCTCATCCTCAGCTGCAGCATCACTTGTACCTCACAACCTTTTCTTCTTGCAGGCCCTCATTCTATTGATTTTGACCACTAAATCATGAGCAATGAGTTACTGCAAAAACAGCCATACCTTGCAAATATTCCAAGAAATTCACAGCAAATTGCAAAGAAATATTCTTCAAAACTATAATTTAGGACTTTTCCATATGTCATTTTTCCAGCATTAAATTAAATTTAACAAAGCAGTGTCAGATACATTTCTTTTTTACATCTACCAAGCTGTTGGAAAAATTTCACCATCACTGCCCTGTGTAAACCTGGGGGCATGGAGGTGGAAAATAGCTGAGAACAGAGAACAAAACCAGCCAGGAGTAGCACAGATAATAGATATTAAACCCCAGACGTTACCTTGGTGCTATTTTGGAATGCATGGTGGCCACCAAGGTGCCAGTGTGTGGCTGGAAGGCTGGGACAGCCTCATCTGTGTACATCCCTCCATTCTGCCTGTGGTTCAGGCTGACTATGTCAGTCATCACCACCAAGCCAGTTTCCTAGACAATGAAAAATCAACACCACAAAACAAAAGCCAGCAGGGGAAAAAAAATAAAATAAAAGAATTAAAGAAAAATAATTAAATGTGCACTGATTTTTTTTTTTTTTAAAGAATCCCTCTATCCTATTTCAACATCTAGGAGGAATCTCAATTGAATCTTGAGGATTTTTTTAAAGCTTTGTGCAAAAAATGACTGTTAATGTGAAGGTGCATAGGCAGAGGCTTTAGGAGAAAGCTCTTGTCTGCTTGGAAAATGCATTTAAATCAGTATCTAACATCACTTAGGGCAAGTGTGACAGGTGAAAAATCATTACACAAATTTTTCCTCTAGAATACAACCTTACAGATTTTTACCCTTGCTAAGAGTTTCCAGTGTGCTCTACTGTAGTGAGCAGGCAGCTCTCCCATCAGGCATCCCCAGCTCTGCCCTGCCAGGGATGCCAAGCAAAATGGAAAGTGTCCAGACAGGGGAAGCACAGAGCTCCTGAGGGTTAGCTCTGTCCCCTAAATGCTCTTATTCATGAGGCAGCAGCTCCCAGCTCCACTGGAGAATGAGCTATGTTCTCTGCACACACCTCCAGCCTTGCACCAGGTGTGCATAGGTGATTGAGGATATAAAGGTCTTTCATGCAGATGGCAACAGAAGCTGGGAGAACCAGGGCAGGAAAGAAACTAAAATGATTTCCAAAGGATAGTCCAAAAGGCTACAAGGACACATTCCACCCTCCTTCCCCATTGGAGTAGCTGCAGAAGAGATCTCACCCATGCCTAGAGGAACCTTCTGGTCCCTGTCTGATCCTCCAGAGCATCAGCATGAATTCCTTCACCCAGCAGGATTCCTTCACCCAGGCCCTCCCAAGACTGGCCAAAGTCAAACCATGTTTCTCAAATATCTTTGCAAAGCACTCTGTTCTCAAAAATTACCTTTCATCCTACCCACCCTGGAGGAACAGCTCTGATGTGGGGAAAACCCCTGGCCTGTGGAGCTGAAACCCCCCTGCAAACATGAAAACACTAAAAAGACAGTGCAGAGGGAAGGGAGGATGGTTCTTCCTACTGTAAATGCGAAGCGCGCGTCCTTGGTGATGTCCCAGTGCCAGGGGAACACGGAGGATCTGCGGCGTCTACGTGAGGACATGCCTGGCCACCAGAAGTGCCCTTCTTCCTTTGGAGCTCCAAAAGCATCAGACACATCATACTCTGCAAGCTCCTGGAACACCTGCAGGGAAAGGGCAGGGGCTGCTGTTCCTCGAGGGGGGTGAAGATCACAGGAGTGAGAAAAGGACTCCAGTGCCTGAAGCTCCCTCTACCTGGCTGGCTGTCAGCTGGAAGCCTGTCTTGAGCAGGTAGACACTCTTGTCCACCGTGGCGAGGCAGACACAGCTTCCTTTTGCAGCTCTGACCTTGATGTTCACCACATCACCGGGCCTGGTCTCGTTGGCTGAGAGCGCCACGGCAACCTGGGAAGGGAAATCCTGTTAAATCCCGTGATTAGCCCAAAAACCAAAGAGCAATGAGGGTCACCAGCCCTTCCTCTTCAGTACCTGGTTCTCAAAGGAGGAGTTGACAGTGAACTGCAGGCTGTCTGTGACCCCCTCTCCGTTCTCCCTGACGTAGTACACGAGCAGCCGGCCCAGGGGAGCCATGGAGTGAACGACTGAGAACCTCAGGAAGGTCACACACACCTCCACCTCTGCTGCAGGTGTGCTGGGAGGTGCTGAAACAGGAATTGTGGAGAAAAATAGCTTTATTTATCCCAGTCATTCCCTTCCTGCCCTCTCCTAATGCTGACAGGCACAGAACTCTCCATTCAGAACTTGCATTCTTCCCTTGCTCCTGTTGCACACCTTCTCAAGTTCAGAATATTTTCCCTTTTCCTCCTCTTTGTGAGAGGTAATTAGCACTCATAATTTAATGAGCAGCATGGAGAAGGTGGGTACTCTATGTTTCTCTAGCCATGAAATCAAGGTAACACAGTTAAGTTACTCAGCCATTGAAAATAAACAGAAAGCGTTATCTATTGCTGGAGAACGCTAATGAGAGAAAAGGAGTAAGTCTGAAAAAGGATTATGCAGTTTATAGAGCAGAGAATCACTGGAACTGTTAAATAGGATCACAGAATGGTTTAGGTTGAAGAGACATTTAAAGATCCTTTACTTCCAGCCCCCTGATGTGGACAAGGATAGCTTTCACCAGATCAGGTTGCCCAAAGTCCCACACAACCTGGCCTAGAACTCCTCCAATGACAGCAACCACAAAGCCTCTGAGCAAACTATAAATGCAACAGCTCAGAACAAACCTTCAGTGCAGAAAATCATCACAAATCCTAAATTACTGACTGCCAAAGCTTGGTGGGTACACAGAGTGAGGCTCCGGTTACTCTTTCCCCAACTCCCAAAGTGGTCACCAGGACAGCCAGACTTTTCCTTTTGCAGCTGTTATATCCATCTTTCCAATCCCACCATTTTTTATCCTCCTGCTCCCCAAATCCACGAGATCTGTGTCTTTCTGTTACACCTTGTGCAAACCAGGAGTCCACATTTCATTTCCCTTCCCCCTGTGGACTGTGTGATCTCCTTTATCAGTATATTTAATTTTCTCTTTCCATCTAACATCCTCTTCTCAGTTTAAGCTCAACCAATTTAACCAACTGCCCCCTGCCCTAAACTTCCCTGCCACTCCACTCCAAGCAAAAAAATCACTTTTCTCAACTGAGAAAGACTGCAGAAAGACCAAAGAAAACTTTCCAAGAGTTACCCCTCTTGGAGGATTTTTTTTTTACATGACCGAGGGCAATGGATTTCTCTATTTTTCTTGTAAAAATTATCTATATTCTTTAAGGAGCATCACATTAACAAAAAGGTTGTGAAAAAGTTGTTTTTCACTGAAAATAGGGGCGAGTTGCATTTCTGGTGCTGGCTACCTGTTCCTGGGAAGCGTGTGAGGTCAATGTTCTTCTCAAAGGCTGTGGTGGCTCTTTTGCTCCTCTGCTGGGTGACATTGCTGGGCTGCAGCCCCGACAGGACAATGTTCCCTCGTGACGCCACTTCATAATGGAGAGTGAAGTTGCAAGGACACGTGGACTTCACTGCAATCCAGGCCTCCTCTCCCACCTGCAGGCAGGGACAGAAAAGCCAAAGATCTGCTCTGTTATGAGCTTTTGGGTGATGAAGCACAGAAAGCTGCTTGGGTTCCAGGCCACAGGAGGTGTGAGCCCTCTCCTAACAAATGGATGCATTGAAAAGTGTATTATTACATTAGCACCGTTCTCAGGGACTTTCTTCACAGTAAAAAGGGGCCTGTGTTCAGCTCTCCACTCACTGCAAATCTACAGGAGAATGAGCTGGGGGTTGTATGCATTAATGAAACAATAAAGGAATCTCTGGAATCCTGAAAGTTCAGCCTTTTGGCACAGAGCAGCTGTCAGAATTGGTTGAATTTTAGACAACCCTACAGTAGCCCAGCCCAAAAAAGGAAAGAGTTGGGTTGGGGGTGGGAAGAGATATGTGTTTGATAGTCTTTACTTTAATTGTGGTTACATTCATGTGGCAAATACCAATTCAAACATAGCCATGAAATGACTGGGAAGAGATCCGAGGGAAAATGTTTTCAAATTACACAAAGTCTCGATAACAATTTGTGAATTGGGCACTCAGGAAGGTGTCAAACATACAAAACATACAAATAAATGAGAAGAAAGCTTCTTTTTTTTTGTCTGGGTAACGCATCTGATGCCTGCAACAGGCTCCAGAGCAGCACACCTGGGCACTGAAACCCTGCACCCAGAGGGGCTCAGTGAATATTGAACACCCCCAGACAAACCCCCAAAAATCCCAACAGAACACACATGAGCCATGGGATTAGCACTGCTCGTGTCTGGCTGAGTAATGAGTAACCCCAGACTATCCTAGGAACACCAACTCCTTCCTTCTGGGATCTGAGGAGTGGCTGACATTTGTGTTCAGCAGGATTTCTTCAGCACCTTTGCCTTCTCACTCTCTTGCCATTTAAAGCACAGCAGTTCCCAAATAAAACCATTCAGGCTTGACAGAAAATCCCAAAGAAATGTTTTGAAAAACCTCTCATTTTCCAGGTCCAGGTGTTCTCCTTGCAGAATGCACACATGGCACAAACCAAAAGGGCAGAACTGGGATGCAAGGAGCTGCTGATGGTTAAACACAGTGAGAATGCCACAGAGTCCAAGAGGTGCCTCGTGACATCAAATATTTGAAGTATTAAGAATTCCCCAGTGCAAATGATGAAACAATTCATTAAAAAATGAATGTAGCTAATTGGAACACCCAGTAAGAGCTGGCAATGCATGGAAACAGTTCCCACATCAGCTGGTCATCCAGCTCCAAGCTTTCCCACAGAAGAATTAGTTTTAATCAGGTTATAATAAGAACAATGTGTTCAGATTAGCAGTGTATAATCCCCTTTCCATACCTCAGGAAACTTGTAAAAGATTAATTAGCCATTAAACTTCCATGAAATGCAGTGATAAACTCTCAGAAAACATTATGCTACAGGAATCATGGCTAAATCAAACATTTTCTCTAGGAGAGAAATCACAACTTTTATAGGGCAGGATTGCATCTTTAGAGAGGCTCCTACAAAACCTACCAAAGACAAGGCAATCATGGTTGTACTTCAATAACTGGAAGAATAACAGATTCAGCTGAGATTCAAACTGGAAGCTCCAGTGAGACTACACAGCCTTAATTTTGGTCTTTAGCCATTCAGCCACTCCCACTATCATCACTTCCAGTCATTTTCAGCAAACAATCCATGTCTGAGCCTTACTGGAGGCACACAAAACACACATTCAAACATGAAAACCTGAAGTGTTTTCTGTGCCTGCACTCACCCCGTTTCTGAAAAGAAGGGGTTGGAAATGAGGTGCTGCACACAGCACCAAGGGAGTTTCTCTTAGCACCTTGTGTAGCCCACAGTCAACAATTATTTGGTGTCTCAAGTGCAGCTACTTCATCCTTTGTGAGGGAAACAGTAACAGTTCACGATCCCAGAATCAGGAACGTCCAGAAATATTTAATTAGAACAAAGTACTTTAAGCCAAGCAGTGCAGTGGTTTCCATAATGGAATATGAAGCCAATGTACCTGGAAAGGTTTATCTGGTGACTGGAGCTGGATGTGACATTTGCTGGGCGAGTACCAGCTGCTGATGGACAAGTAGTTGGGCAGATATTGATCCCCAGAGGGTTTCCCATCAATTGCTGTCACTTTGGTCTTAAAAAAAGAAAAAGGAAAAAGTTACATCTTAATGCTATGCATAGAAAGTTCATTTTGTTCTTTTTTAATCTCTAATCTTTTCTCCCATTTTCTACCTTCCACCTTTCATCTCTTGACATCTTTACTCCCTAAATATTGGACTCCTACTACCATGTTAAGCTGTATTTGGAGAAGCATCTTTTCATGGTGGTTATCAACATCAATTCTCCTGGCAGCAAGAAACAAACCAGTGTCTGCTGTGTTGAAATCCAGAAGCTGAAGCTAAAAGGCACTGATTTCCTGTTTGTAGCACTGATTTATAAAGTGCAGGTTTGACAAGATTAGTTACATTAAAGCCTGCTAATCCTATAAGGAGCTTTTACCCACCTCCAGCCAGACATATTGGGCAGCTGTGGGGATGGAGGGGATTTCAAACTCCACCAGGCCATTCCTTGAGACCAGTTCACTTGTATAAACATTGTCCTTTGGTGTGAGCTCAGCTTTAACTCGGATGGTGATTCTGTCAGCTGGACTTCCATCGGGGTAAGTGACTTCTACCTGCACATGGGGCATTTATAGAACAATTTCCTTCAAATTATCAGCAATTCCACTCAATGACAGGTGGGGAAAATCACTGGCATCAAGTCAGTACAACTTTAAATTAGCCACATGTCCGTGGGCTCTACTTTTAATCTCACCTTGCCTTTGTAAGGCAGCCCAGGTTTGAACTGTTTTCTGGTGTCCTTGGAGTACTTGATATCAATCAGCTGTTTCTGGACAGGTGTGGAGTCATCAAAGGTCACCTGCTTGCTGCCATCAGAGCTGATCACCGTGGCCCAGATGTTGACTGTGCCTCGGAAGTGCTCTGGGACATCCGATGGCATCATGTCCTTGACACACACATCAAACACGGCAGAGCCATCGATCTGGGGCGGGGGGGAACAAAGGGAACATGCATTTCACACCCTGACAGGGCCCAGAAGCCAAATCTAAAGCACAGGCACCAGATGGGAGCTTACAGCAGTGTTTTGGAGGGAATTGGCAGGGAAGGCAGGGAAGGCAGGGACGGCAGGGAGTTAATTTCATTTTCCTCCCTTACCCATGGTCTGGACTAACTCTTCACCTCAGTCTCCTGCTCTCCTCAGCCCCATATGCACTCAAGACAGATTAAAACTATGCCAACAAATTCTCATCCCACCTCAGAAATCCTGAGCTGGATCCCTCAGGGATGATCAGTGCAGCCCCTGGCCCTGCCCAGACCCCCCAACAAGCCCTGCCCAGACCCCCCAACAAGCCCACCCTGAGCATCCCTGAGAGCGCTGTCCAAACGCTCCTGGAGCTCTGGCAGCCTTGGGGCCGGGCCCATTCCCTGGGGAGCCTGGGCAGTGCCAGCACCCTCTGGGAAAAGAGCCTCTTCCTAATATCTAAAATCATAAATATACCATGTAAAAATAAGCAATACTTTTATATTTATTATAACTATTACCCAGTTATAATATTTACTCCTTCATTTTCTGATCTCCCATCAGCAACAAAACAGAACTGTGAGATAAATGTTAAAGAAGATAGATCAGGCATTTTATCACAGGTGAGTCCATGGTCTCCCTCACCTGGGTGGTCTTGAGGACAGGGTGTCCCACTTCATGTCTGTAGTACCCAACACCATTTATAGTCATATTGACAATTAACTTCCCTGTCACTGGTTTTCCAAATGTGTATCTGAAATGGAAAGAAGATGATTAATAACCTCCAGCTGGCTTCTATTCCTCTGGTTACATGAAGACAATTACCACGTTACCTGCACATCAAAACAGTACCACAGGAATTTCTCCAGATTTTTTTAAATCGTGTTTTTGAAGGCTCTTACATCAGAAAGCTTCTGATGATGATTAGAAATCATCTGAAAAGTCTGCAGCAGGTGGGATCCACGCTCCAGTGACTGCTCAACAATCCACAGCAATAAAACTTGGTTTGGGACATGTTCCTACCTGGCATGGACAGTTCCTTTTTCACACAGTGAAAGGTCACGAATGTAACGAGGAGGGTCAATCAGCAACTCAAACTTTGGCAACACTACAATGAGAAGAAATAGAGCAGAATCTTTTCAAGCAGATCTCATTGCCCAGGTTAGAGCAAAAGTCCCCACAGCTCTGACAGGACCCTGGTTCTGATTTATCAGGGTAACACCCAGTAGAGGGTCAACCAACAACAGCAGCAAACCAAAACCACCTTGGCAAGGTGACCTTAGCAAAGCTCCCAGTTTGCAGTGTCTGCACCCCTGAAATACATGGCCCTAAAGAATTTTTCCTGGTGGCATTTTAAATGCCCTATTTCAGTGGTTTCATCTCAAGTGAAAGCATTTCAGTGTTCTGTTCTTCCAAATGCACCTGGGTTAGGGTCAACTCACCGTATTTCTGCACCTCAAATGATTTGTTGTAAGTGTGCCCCTGCATCTCTGCAAAAATGAGCCATTCCCCAAACACTGGCTGATCAGACAGAGGGAAAGTCATATTGACAATGCCTGAAAAAGGAGAAAACACTCTGAACTCTGTCACTCTCCAGCCCTTACTGAACACAACTCAATGGAAGCAGAAGCAAAGGCAAATCACAGCACACAGAGAGAAAAAGAAATAATCTGGAACTTACCACAACAAAATGGCTTCAAGTTATTCCATTCTATCATCCGAGACCCCCGAGGATCCTGCAGGGTGGTTGAGGGATGAGAAACATGGCAGTGAAAATGAGTATCACTCACACATCAGTTTGCAACAAAGAACTTCCTTTTGTAACATACACACCTCACTGACAGCTCAAATGTAACCAATACCTGACCAAAATGTTCCAAAAATACCTTAGCAGGGGTATTTGCTTTCAGGAATTATTTAAGAGCTCTGCTCCTGTAAGCAATGCACACAAGTCAATGCTGCCATGCAGATTTTCCCTCTGCCTTAAGACACCAGTCCTGGGTGGGGTGACGTGACCTCTGAAGACCCTTTATTCCTAAAGGGAGCTGTACAACCAGTAAGTCGAATTTCAGATGATAAACTCAGATGAAATGAATCCTGCTGGTTTTGTCAACAGTAAATCTTCAACAAGAGTGAATCCTTCTGCTTTCTGACAGGTAAACATGTGGTTTAAAAAAATAAAAGAAAAAATAAGACTAAACACAGAAGGAACCTCTAGTGACCTCATAAAGAGGGAGACAGGAGAAGCCTTTCCTCTCCATGAATTTCTACTGTCCACTATCTCTGTTTGGGTGCAGAATGAGGGTGGCCCTGCTCTGTCAGCCCAGCACATCAAGGACAGGAGTGGGAGGGCTTTGAAAATAAGAGAGAAGGAGTGGGGCTGTCACAGTTACAAATCCCAATGAATCAAGCCAATCCTTCTCAGGCTGAAAAATGGGAATGTATCTCTGAAACTGACGTAGAAAACAAGGATATTTGCTGGTGGTAGCAAAAAAAACAAGGCATAGAGATCAGATAATGACACAGGGATAGAGAATTGCATAGGTTAGGGGTGGGAATGGCCATAATGGACAGGAAAAGCACAAATTTGTTCCTTTAAAGGCTGCACAAACCTTGTACCTCTACAGGACACCTGCTGAATGGGCACACAGATACTCACCACCACATAAGCTTCAATCTGAAAGAAAAAAGAAAATTAAAAGGCTTTATGGAACAACTTTTCTGCTTTTTGTGATAAAGTGTTGAGTCAACATAAACAAGGTGTGAGACCCGAAGTGACAGAGTTTGAACATCTATTCTTTGCAAAGAGTAGCCTGAGAAACACACTTTTAATTCATACACCTAATTATCACCTAATAAAGTGATAATTTACATATCTGTGCACTACCTAAATAAGGTGCAAGTCTCTGAAAAATTCTTATCTCTGCTCTGGCAGAGCTGCCTCCTATTTGCCAGCACTCCAAAATTTTGTATTCTCCTCCAATAGGAACATGACCAAGTGAAAAAAGCTAAATTACAAATAAAACAAGCTATCACAAGCTATGCCTAAATAGGTTAAAAATCCTGTTTCTGTAAGAGTACATTTGAATAAAATGCAGGCTAAAATATGGGAACCAAGTATTCCATCATATTGCAGAGTGTGAGAGAAAACTGTTTTTCTTACCCTGTCGTTGACTGGCCTCAGGTCAGAAGTCACCATAAAGAGGTTTATCAACACTAAAAAAAGGAATAGAGGGAATTTATCAGTCACCAGAGCTGAGACTGAACAGCCCTAGCATCTGGCAAATTGTCCAAGGTGACTTTACCTTTCTGCTTGGGTTTGTAGACAGGTTTGTCAGTCTGGATGAACACTGAGGAGCCCTTGCTGTCGATGGTGACTGTGGTGTAGTTGTGGAAAATGTAACCTTCCTCTGCCAGGTGCCTGTTGCCCCAAACCTTCAGGTGTGCTTGTCCACGAAGCCCTGAAGGCACCTAAAAAACACACCAGGAGGTGAGGAACACATAGAAAAGCCTTTTTGATTTTGGGGAATGTCACTGACACTGAAATGAGCAAGAAGAGCCACCTGCTGCTTTTTGATGTAAATCTGTGTTAGTAGTGAAAAGAAAATTAAGGATATACTAGATTTTCTACAATATATAAACTTCAAAGGAGATAAATTCATGCTGAAAACATGGCAGGAAACTTTCTTCTGCCCTTTATCACTCAAGCAAAGTGATGGTTGAGCCATGATCTACATATGCAGCTTCCAGTAGAGAAGGTGTGGGGAAATCAACCCACAGCTCTGCCAGCAGAGGGGAAAACCCCAGTGACAACACGAAAAAGTCCTCAAAACAAAAAGGGCATGCATGTGTATGTTCAACCAGCTGCTCAGAGAAATAATTACTTTAAAAGTAATTCAGATTAAAAGTGACAAAGTAAAAAATCTGGTACCATTCCAGATGCAGATCACAATTGAATATTTTGTTCCACCACCCCCTTTAATGTCCCAGAGATGACAAGCCCAAATTAAGTTCTAAGTTAAGAAACAAAAGGGTTTCTTTTAAGGGCTAGGTGTGATGGGTTGAGCTTTTTTGTTTTCACTCCATTTTTCCTCTGGAAGGCTGTACCCTCCTCAGTGTGTGCCCCAGAAAGTTACATTTATTTGTGCCAGAGAGCAATGCTTGATATGGCTGAGGGAAAGTCCCTTATATGTTCACCAAAACCATATTAAAATAATTGACACTCACCTTCAGCTTAATTGTTCCTTTATCTAAAATATGAGAGAGAGAGCAAGAGTTATTCTCAAGGTAAGGCATTAAGATTTTAGATATTTGCAGCTGAGTGAAGGAAGACCCCACACCACAGAGCTGCTCCCTCAAGTGTCCCTTGGGAAGTAATTTTCCTGCACTGCATAAAACAGACTGCAGGGTAAGTCAGACCCAGAAGAGTTCTTCAAAATAAACCTGGTCCACATTTATTTACAACGTTTGCCCAAGGTAAACTGCAAAGTGCTCTGTGACTGGAGAGCACCCCCAAGGCTGAGGTTCCAGCACAGGGCAGCCTGTGCCTACACAAGTGTTTTGATGTAAAAAGGACCTGGCCTCTTTTGGGACTTCAACAATTCTCAAAACAAACACTCATGGGATCTGTTTGGGTTGCTGGATACAGCCATACCTAGGAGTTCTCTTGAGCATTTGCTGTCCACATGTGTCAGCATTGCTCCCTTTGAATTGCTTTGCAATTGTCAGCCACTTTCAAAGACATCAAGGGGAGGACACAACCAGAGACAATCTGTTCCAAGAAATGGAATGGCTTTCATAAAACTCCCAGTTTTAACAGAAGGGTTAAAACATGAGGGTTAAAGAGCCTGATTGCCTTAACCATGCTACAGCTTCCACCACTACTGACAGGGGTACAACAGGGCTGCTGGACCTCACTTTCACCAGCGTAAATTCACTCAGTGCTAAGTTGGATATTATCAAATCACATTGATTTTACTCACAGGACAGAGATATCTGGCCTGGATTTTAAAGACTTATCCAACTACACAAACATTACCGCCTCTCTCAGCAGCACCCAGTCCTGAAGATTGTGTTCCCAGCACTCATTTTGGAGAGAAGAAATTGATGATGATGATGTAGATTTTACATTTTTCTTTAAATGAACTTATCTTATTCCTTATATAGCCCCCCACTGATAAATATTTAGGCATCAAAAGGAGGTATAATCAATATAAAACTCTAGAGCATCAGTTATATTGGGTCTCTGTATGTCTTGGTGTTCCAGTTATCAGCCTGACGTGTTTGAGATCACACACTGCAAAACCACATCGGCACAAACAGCTGAGAAGGTGCAGCAGTAGCAAATCAATTAGCTTGATTCCATTTTCACCTAAAGCAATTCTTTAGGAGATATCAACGTGCTCCCACAGCACCCCAGCTGATAAATCAGCTCTCAAGTTCAGAACTCCAGGAGCTCACCCAGGACTGTTCCGTGGCCCCGTGACACTGTCTCTCCTTTGACCACCAGCTGGATCTGCACTGTGGTCTCCTTGACAGAGTTGAAGATGGTCACACTTATGGCTTCCTCCACCCCAGAGCGAAAAACAGAAGGTGCTGCAATCAAATAACCCCTGAGGAGCACAATTGGGAGTGGTCAGTCAAGACACAGCCACCAGAGTGTTACCTTCATTTGTGAGACACTTTTTGTGTAGCAAAAGAACAAATACTCTGTGATACATTTGCCCCTGTAGGGTCACATTTATTGTCACCAGCAGTCTAAGCCTGTATCAAATATGTATAAATGAACAAATAGAGCTTTTGGGGCTACAAATGGCTTACATATCCTTAGGATTTAAATAAAACCAGTAATATATCAATGTTTATTGCATCTATAATAATAAATACATTAATTTATCTATTACATGTAACAAACTAAACCAGCTAATCATAAAAGAGCTAAAGTTCATGAAGGAATAAGGAGGTACCTGAACCTCTTGTAGAGCTTTGTATGAATGCTTTCTTTGAAACAACTTAGATATTTTTGACTCAATCATATGGCTCCATTTTCATAGCTCAGTTTTCATATAGGAGAAGTGAAGAGACTCAGAGCTGACTTTTGGAGCTTTCTGAATGTCAGACTCAGTGCACATAACACACCTGAACTTTCCATTTATACAGAAGCAGCCTAGAAACTGCAGCCACAAAACTGGGCTGGAATTCCCAGCTCTGCTACCACATTCTTGTTGGAACAATTAGATCCTGCAAGTTTACAAAAGGCATTATTTTAGGAGGCGCACAGAGAGCTTTAAAGCCACCCAAAACGACCTCCCATAGATGCTGCAATGCGAGAGTTTCTGAATGGAATCTGCACCACTCCTCTGTGAATGGCACTGTGCCACGAACTTGTCAGCTAAAAGCGTTGCAGGCTCTGAGCTCTTTGATGCACTGGGCTGGAAGCAACACATTTATATTCTCTTCATGACACACCTTTCTGAGGGTTTTTTTCCCTACCCAAAAGGATTTTTTTTTAACACGAGGCAATTCCTCAGATGCCTTTTCAAGCCAAATTTCTCAGCCCATGCCTTTCTACGGTCCCATGAGCCAGGGTGTTTTAGCTCATGATTAATTATCACTTTGGGATGAGGATGATGGTGTTTTACAGCCCCCAAGTAATCTTTTATCAAATTCCAAGCCCATGTTCCTCTCTCAGCAGGCCTCATTGCCATGGAGATCCCATTACCCCCAAAGGAAGTTCAGAACTCTGTGGCATTTGAGTTAAATTGCAAGGGGTACTTACAGATCCCAAACCTTATGGCTGCCAGGTTTGAAAATTCATCAGAATGGTAATAAATAACAATAAAAAGTTACTACTGAGCCTGCAAGTCCTTGCTAAGAGAGATAGCTGATTTAGCTGCAGAGGGAGAAAGAGTACCAGCTGCATTCAGGATGAAATGATCAGATTTAAACTGTCATAAGCCCAGCACTGCAGTGCCATATGTGAAGCACATGTACTCACATTGTTCTGATTTGCTGAAACTCTTTCTGAAGTATCAGTCCCTTGATAACAACTATCTAAATCACTCAATAAGTGGCATTCGAAAATTAAATGTTTAACTGGTCAAACAAAGAGTTAACTTGACAGGGACCGGACAGATCCTTTAAGCACATTTAACTAACAGCTCTGTCAGGTTGCACCAAAACTTGGCAGGACGTGAAATATTTTCTAGTAAGCAAGTGAGAATAAGTTCTCCATGGCACTCAGTTAATACAGCTATTCACGATGCTGACGGGTTATAATAAGCCAGGGATAAAGAACAAAGCAAACCTTAATCAAAATTAGCCTAAACAATACTGGAAAAGAGCTGCGGATTCGAGTTCTAAAAGTCAGAGAACTTTCCCCGCACTTTCTCCCAGGCCGGTCTTCCCCACAAGAAAAAAAAAAATCTTCACACGCTGCTCAGGAGCGCCCAACGCTACCTTCAACCACCCCCAGCACCGCAGCAGCCGGATTCCTGACATAATTGCTGGCAGATAAAAGCTCCGGAGCAGCTGGAGGCAGGTATGGCACGGGACCTTTCTCCTCTGGTCCCCCTTTCCCCGCACTTCGCCACCGGCGGGGACGGACGGGGAGCGCCGCGCTCCATCCGCGCCCCCTCCGGGCTTTGTTCCGCGGCCGGTGAAGCCCCCCCGGGAGCCGTGGCCGAGCAGAGCCGCTTCTCCCCCCGCCGCCCTGCCCAGGGATGCTGCCGCGGGTCCCCGGGCTGGCCCCGGTACTTACTGGCGCTGGCGGGGCTGGGCAGCGCTCAGGCTGCAGAGGGCGAGCAGCAGCAGCAGCGCCCG